CTTGAGCTAGTGTTGCACTTTTGGTTTTCTAATGGTTTATTGGAGATCAGAGTCTCACAGACTTTCCTGCCTGAGCTTGCTTTGAACCACGATCCTCAGATTTCAGCCTCCTGAGTAGCTAGGATTAAAGAGGACAGCCACCAGCACCCAGATTCTTTATCTTTTTAAAGAACTGTCAATGCAGGTCTTCTGATCATTATTTCATTGGGTTCTAGAGTTGTCTTTTGTTTTTTCCTTGAGACCTTTGTTTCCATGATACAATGTGGATAGTAAATCATTTAACAGACATTATCACTACTATAGTTATGATGAAGCTTTACTCTTTTGATATTATTTCATTTTGTTGAAGAGGTGGCTCCCAGCAATCTCTTTGTGCCTTTACATCTTTATTTTACGCTGTTGCTGTCATATGGAGTAGGAGTGCAGTCACAGGAATGAGCGTGTAGTCTACATTTTAACGTCAGACTCTGGCAGCACCAAGTTCACTTCTCTCCCTTCCCTGTGTGTCACTGGTGGACATGGATTAAGGGAGAGCTGGTTCTCCCCTCTCATGCATTCAGTGAGCGGTTCTGACCTGCTGTGTGTGCAGAGGAGGAACTCACCTTCCTCTGCCCCAGGCTGAGGTGAAAACCCAAGAACCTGTCCCTTCTAGGCTCTCCCAAGTCATTTCACAGTTTTCTGAGAGGCTTCTCTGGTCTTTCCATAATGTTACCAACCCTTTCCTCCTCTCTGTATTTATGTGTGCGGGATTATCAGACATGACATCCACACTGAATGTTGGTCTGATCTCGGTCTTTGTCTTGCACCATATGGATTGGGGACTTGGCAAGAATGTTGCCACCACAGACTCTGTCCTGAGCTTCGAAGGGTCCTCTGCTCCCACAGACTCATCAGTAATGGAAATGACAGTATTTCCCTCTTCCCTGTGTGTGTGTGTGCAGATTATCAGACATGACATCCATATCCAGTGTTGGTCCTGTCTCTGCCTTGTGTGGCTTTATAGACAATCTGTGTTGCAGGAGAAGTTCTGTGGCTGTGGTACCATGGAACTCTGTCCCGATATCGGTTGCTGACTGTTAAGTCCCTGGTGATAAGCTCACTCCCGTGCTAAGTTGTTCTGGGCCATTTCTGCCCTGAAGCAGGACCCTGGGCCTCGCTGCTCTGTCACACACCTGCCTGTTAAATTGTCTTGCATTAATTTAATGTTGAAGAGAAGGGTATGCTGTTTACTGAATTTTATCATTACACATTACATTAGCATATCAAATTACTACGATCTCTCTCCTAAATGTGTTATGTCAATTTAAAAGTATACAAATGTATCTTAGTGGTAGAACACTCAACATAAATGATGTTTAGGTTCAAATTGTTGGAGGAAATATAATTGTGCATGAATGGGGAGAAAGTTTAAATGGGTGACACTGATGGACCCATGTTGATCAAACTGATTTTTTTCTTTTTATGTCTTTGTTTTTGGTGGGGGTTGAACTCACAATGGGGGCACTATCTGTGAGCTCCTTTGCTCAAGGCTAATGCTCTACCACATTGCGAGACAGCACCATGCGTCTTTTTTTTCTTTTTGCTTATGTGGTGCTGAGGAATTGAACCCAGGGCCTCAGGCATGCAAGGCCAGCGCTCTACCACTGATCCACCTTCCCAGCCCGTCCATGCGGTTTTTGAGTGGGTAATTGGAGATAAGCGTCTCGTGAGGTGCAGCATTATTTACCATAGCTAAGATATGGAACCAACCCAGATGCCCCTCAGTAGATGAATGGATCAGGAAAATTTGGTACATATACACAATGGAATTCTATGCCTCCATCAGAAAGAATGACATTGCCTCATTTGTTAGGAAATGGAAAGACTTGGAAAAAGTTATATTAAGTGAAGTAAGCCAAGCCCAAAGAAACATAGGTCCCATGGTTTCCCTTATCTGCAATATCTAGTATATGTATGAGTCAAGCCAAAAAGGTCAGATAAGGTCATGTTAGGGAAATGAACCCTTAGCTATGTATTTAAATGTTTTTTTTCTTTCATGCATTTGTTTCTAATGCATTTATAAGATTATTTCTTTGTTGCTTTGGATGTCCCTCCCCCACAGTATAACTCCTGCTTTCACTGTATTTGATGTCAGTATAATTTGTGGAGGGGAAAGGGAAAAACAAGTCATTTAAATAAGGATACAGGTGGACCCGTTGCAACAATGAGAAGTACAAGTTTTCATGTCGAAAACGACCTTTACAACTTTGGTGGGTGGGGAGGAGCGGGGGAGGGGCTGGGAAGGGATGTGAAGGGTCAACAAAGGAGGAGGCTACAATGATTGATAAGAAATGTACTCATTATCTTGCCCATGTAATTATAACCCCTCTGTACAGTATGTTCACAATTAAAAAATTTAAAAAAAAAGAGTCTCGTGAGGACTTCTCTGCCCAGGCTGTTTGGATCCTTGATCCTCAGATCTCAGCCTTCTGAGTAGCTAGGATTACAGGCGTGAGCCTGGGATTTAAAAGCAGTCCTGTGAGACTGTCCTAAGAGAGAATGCTCAGCTTCCATGGGGAGAATCCAGGAGAATCATGGAAAGCACCCGCCCTGCTTTCTACTCTCTTCTGAATCACCATCCAGATGTCTGCCTCTGCAGAAAAAACTTACTACCTCAAAAATACACAATGGTGAAGAGTGCTGCAGGCCTGATTCTGCAGCAGATCATCGGATTAGCAACTGCAAAGCATGGAGTTCAAATCACTGCACCACAAACAGCAAACTAGGAGGTTAGCACCATCCTCCATTCTTCTAATTCCCTGCATCAGTGAGAAGGCTCAGGGTCCCAAATGACAGATGGTGCTCAGAAGATAGGAAGACAGAAAGAGCCCAGGAATCATGAAAGAGTAAACAGCACCATTCAAACCACGGAGAAACAGAATCAAGAAGAAAAAGGTCTACAGTTTGAAGCCCACCTCCCAGTGGAAAGAGAGGCTGAGGTCAGCAGTGCCGGTGAGCGAGGCAGCTGTGGTGGCTGCAGACGGCAGGATGAAGGCTCCTCGGCCTCTGTGGATGTTCCCCATGACAGGTGATGGCTGCATTCAACTCACTTCCTCATTTAAGCCTGGAGTCTTGGGACAGCACATTGTCTCTTTGTTTCACTTACATTTATTGGTCTCGTAGGTAAACACATTTCAGTCCCTAGCTGAGCATACTCTTGTTCGAGGGATTTTTAGTGCAATTGAGTCTGCATTGTCAGCCATGTTGGAACACCCCCGAGAGACATTCGGGCCTCGGTTAGACCCCTGGAAACCCCTGGGTGGGAGGGCTTTCCTCTCTGCCCTTGCCTCTGCCCCCTGCTGGGGACTGAGAGCTCAGGTGGTCCTCCATCCCCCTCCATCCTGAGGGTGTAGACAGTGTGGAAATGACCATCAGCAGCTGCTGTGCACTGTGAAGCAGGAGTATCCACAGAGTGGATATCATGGGGGCTGAGGGGAAGAGGAAGAGAGGCCGCTGACCTGAGACAGGTGTGGGCATCAGGGAAGAAGGACACAGGAAGTGGCAGTGCTCCACAAGAAGCTGATGGCTGATCCCATCTCATCCACACACAGAGGAAGTCCTTCCCTCCCACAGTGCCCCAGTGAGCACGTGAGGAAAAGGAAACAAAAGGAAGGCAGGCATGTCCAGAAGGACTGTGGTGTGCTGAGGAGGTTTCCAGAGGGACCCCGGGAATGGGAGGAGGGAGCGCCACAGAACCTGACACCCAGCTCCCACCCAGCTTCTGGGGTGAGATCCAGGGCTGCTGGCCCTGAGCACCTCTGCAGCTCAGGCTCAGGGTTTGGTGGACAGTCTGTCTCAGGGCTCACACTGACGTCTCTTCCGGTGTCTCTTGCACAGTACTCCATAGTTGGGTCCCCGTGGTCACTGCGCTCAGCTCATGGGCATCTGGTTCTTGGCTGTGTCCTCAGAAACTGTGACTCGACTCCTGAGAGACAGCTGCAGTTGAGGATGTCTCCTGTCCTTCCCAGCAGCTTCCCTGGGGCTGTGGGACTCGGCACCATCAGTAATGACAGCCAGTGCCACCTACATGGTGCAGGCAGGGGACAGAGACCGCGTGCGGGCTTTGCCAGGCCAGGCTGTGACTCCTGCAGCTGCTGGGACAGGACATCTGAGGACAGAGCACCTCAGTGCCGGGCATGGGGAGACACGGTGTGTTCTGAGTTCGGATGCAGCGTCCTCACAACATCCTGACCACATCCCGATGTCCTAAACCCAGGAACGGCCATCAAGGAAACAAAGGCCTGCTTGGCATTCCAGGCATCAGGAAGATGTCTGTGACTCACAGGAAGTATTTCCAGGGTCTGGCAGAGGCTGAGTGTAAACAAGAGAGTATGAGCCCAGTGTCGCTGGCTCATGCCTGCAAACCCAGGTACTCAGGAGGCTGAGATCTGAGGATGGTGGTTCAAAGCCAGCCCGGGCAGGAAATTCCCTGAAACTCTCAGAGACTTTATTGGAGAATAAACCACAAGAAAACCAGAAGTGGTCATGTGAGTTAAGCGGTAGAGCGCTTGCCTTGAGCTGATGAGTTGAGGGACAGCACCCAGGCCCAGAGTTCCAGCCCAAGGTCCTACCAAAAAAAAAAAAAAGTTAGCAGTGAGTGTCTGCTCTTCCTCTAGGAAGATGAAGGACAACATGGGGAAGGCCAGATGGACTCTGCTCAGGATCTCTGCAATGGAGAGAAACCAGTGGAATTGGAGAGCAATGTCCTCACCTAGCAAGGAACCCTTAAGAACCTAGACAGCTCTGTGGTGGATGCTGCGTCCTGTGGAGAGGCCAGGCACACAGAGGAGTCAGGGCCTGAGCTCCACAGCTGCTCCTGTGACTGCCATGACCTCAGTGTGTGCCCAGCGCCCCCTGCTGCTGCTGACTGAGCATGACCTCAGTGTGTGCTTAGCGCCCCCTGCTGGTGCTGAGCGCCCTGCAGGGAGGTTTGTGTCTGGCCCACACTGGATTTCCTGCACTGTGTCTGTAGCACAGTAATAGACGGCCGTGTCCTCCACTCTCAGGCTGTTCATCTGCAGGTAAAGTGTGTTCTTGCTGTTGTCTCTGGAGATGGTGAAGCGGCCCTTCACAGAGTCTGCATACTGTACGTCACTACTACTACCACTGATGTATGAGAGCCACTCAGGCCTCTTCCCTGGAGCCTGGCGGATCCAGCTCATGTAGTAACTACTGAAGTCGAATCCGGAGGCAGCACTGGAGAGTCTCAGGGACCCCCCAGGCTGCACCAAGCCTCCCCCAGACTCCACCAGCTGCACCTCACACTGCACACCTGCAAACATAGAGAATCCTGGTCAGCAATGGTCACACACATCCACTGTTCCTCCCACTCATGTCCATTTGCACACTAAGTTTCCCTTGCTCCCCATGAATCACCTTTCAACAGAGCAACAAGGAGAACCCAGTGCAGCCCCAGCTCCATGGTGCTGGTCTGTGCTCAGTCACTGGTGGAATTAGCTCACAGGGCTGGGCTGGTTTCCATGGGTAGAGGGACATTCTATTTGCATGTCCTCTGCTATAAAGCAGCTCTGCGGGGAAGTCTAGAGATTGGGCTCCCAGAGCAGAGGTGACTGTGCTGGAGGAGTTTGGTGACAATGGTCACCTTGGAGACATCATGATGCACTGACCATGCGCTGTGGTTCACACTGTACCTCCAGCTCCTTGGGAACCTGAGGCAGAGTGTGAGAACATTGAGAGCTGTCTGGGGTGCAGAGGGACACACATGTCCTCTCACTCTGCCATTGTGCCTGGTGATCGTTCTGTCAGCATTTCTGATCACACACGAAACACAAAGTGCAACACGCGTGTGACCTCCTTGTGCACACGCAAGAGTGTAAAACACGCGTGTGACCTCCTTGTGCACACGCAAGAGTGTAAAACAATGGTGAATTGTTTCCAAACTGGCAGCGTCTCACGTGGTATGAGCTCCATGCCTGGTCTGGGCCTGCACAGCCAAGGAGGGCCCACAATTCCTGGTGTGTTCCAGGAGAATGGTGCTCATCTATGAGCTCTGCAGAGCCTCCTTCCTGAGCCGAGATCAGGTGTGGCATTGCTGCACTTTACTTCATTCTGACCACAAATCAGGACGGCCAGGGTTCAGGGTTCAGATGCTTGACAGTTGGCTCTGCTGTATGAGTTTCACAGTCTGGCTTTCTTGTTTGTTTTTGTGGTTCATATGCACTCTGCATTTCTGACAGTATCCCATGTATTGTATATTGTGATAACCTCAATGAGTCACTACACGTAACATACAGTGCTCATAGGTAAACACTGATTTGGTAACTATCGATAAAGTATTTGTGTGTTCTTCAAATTGTTTTGAAAACCATGGGATTCCTTATTTGCTTGCAATTTTTTTTTTAATTGTTGACATACCGTACAGGGTGGTTACAATTACATGGTCAAGACCATGAGTACATTTCTTATCAAGCATTATTGGCACCTCCTTTGTTTCCACTTCCCATCCCTTCCATTCTCCTCCTCCCACTTTCCCTCCTTTCTCTTCCCCCCCCTTGCCCAGGCAAAAGTTGAAAAGTTTGTTTTTCAACATAACGACTTGTACATCTCATTGTTGCAACGTGCCCACCTGTATCCCTATTTAAACGATTTTTTTCCCTTCCCCTCCACAAATTATACCAACATCAATTACAGTGAAAGCAGGGGTTATACCGTGGGGGAGGGACATACAAAGCACCAAAAAATCATCTTATAAATGTGTTAGAAACAATTGCAAGAAAGATAAATCATTTGAATCTTTATCTTGGGGTTCACTTCTCCTAACATCAACTTGTCTGACAGTTTCTGTTTGTCTCAGACATATACTAGTTATTGCAAATAAGACATAATGTGATACTGGTGTTTCTATGGTTGGTTTATTTCCTTTAATCTAACTCTCTTTAGATCTATCACTAATGACAGTCTCTCTCCCAGTCTGTGGGTTAGTTCTATTCCATTGTCCACACCTTTCCCATTACCTTTATCTGTTCTTCTCTTGTTGGACCTTTACTTTAATCTCAGCCCTCCTCTGCCACGTTCTCCCTAGGATGTCCTGTGCTCCATGCTCCACTGCCCTGTCCCTAAGTTCTAGCTGAGAAACATCAGAATGGCCTTTGCCATGCATCTTGCCAACTTCCCGTTCTGAACACGTAGCTATGAGCAGCTCAGCTCACAACAATGTTTGGGCAGTGATTATCAGGATATATAAAATTGTCCCACAGAATTATGGTGCAGATAAAATATTCCTATTATTAGTGACCTTGTGATTGTTGTAATATCATAGCATCACACACCTTGGCATGTTCATGTAGATGATGGTAGCTAGCCTAAGCTTCTGCTAGTTGCCTAAAATCTAGCAATACATTGCTGTACAGTTTACATTTGATATGATAGTAAATGTGTTTCCTAATAGTCTTGAATTCTGTATATATGTTTCATTATGTCTCAATGTTTCTGGGAGATTTGTTGGCAGCATTTTCCGTTAGGCTTGGGTGGATTTGTGTTTTTCATCTCTAGCCTTCCTCAGATCTGATCTTGGAGATCATGGCAAAGTCAGTTTCCCCAATGTGTTATTCTCCGTGCTTTGTTGAAGTGAAGTCTCCCTATGTTTAAGTAAACCTCACAGTGGAAAGCAGAACATCTGATCCAGACAGTCAAGGATGACCACAGACACAGACATGGAGAAGTGCCTGGGAGACTGTCAGGGGATGAGCAGAAGTAGGGCAGACACAGAGGAGAGCTGGGGCAGGAAGAGCAGAGGCAGGGCCAGTGCATTTGTTTACCAATTAATTAATTTAGTTATTATTATAAAGGATATACAATAACAGGTACTGGTTATTATTCAATACAGACATACATTGTTAAATGACTAATAGTCTAAGAAGACACATGCTCTAAAGTATTGATGATTTTGTTTTGGTGAAATCTTTCCTTTCTTCATCTTTTTACAATGATTAGTGTTGTGCTATGAGATACCAGCTCCTCCTGATGAGTTTTCACATCCAAATGAGGACCGAAGACACCACAGTCTCCACATGGACAGAGTAATGGATGTCTCCTGGTGAGATGAATGATTTGTCTCCTCATCCACAAAAACTGTCTAGGAGAAAACCTCAAAACTCCCAAGTCTTCTTCCTAATGCCTGCAGAGTTCACACACACAGGTTCTTGTTCAGGAAGTGAAGCTTGCTCTTCTCTGATCAGGATGTAATGGAGAAATAAACAAGGATCTGTTTGAGCAGGTGGGGGCATCCGGGATGCAGGGAGCTCAGTCAGATTGCTGTGTGATCACCTGGGCCCAGCCCCTCGTGCCCACGATGCGCTTGCACAGTGACAGTGCTCATGACGGAGCCACAGGGACCCGGCCTCCATCCCAGACGGGACATCCACAAGACTCCAGAGCCATCGTGATGGAGGAAACCCCAGGACAGACGGGGCCCAGCAAGGCCAGTCTACATGCACATGGCCTGTTGTCTGTCCAGTCCAACCCAGACTCCTCGTGTCCACTTCCATGTCCCCACGGAGGACAGCAAGAGGTCCTGGTCAGGAGAGACTGAGGAGTCCACCAAAGTGTCCCAGGGTGCCATGGGCTGAGCTCCAGGGATATGGCCAACCCCTCTGTTTTATGACTTGGGTCCCGAAGTACATTTGGTGGCTGGACAAAGAGAAAAGCAGAATGAGAATATGAGAGTCACTGAGGAAGAAAGTGAATGAATGGAGCAATTCTGTTAGGTCAGTTCTGAACCCCTGAGCAGTGCCACAGGTGGAGGGAGGAGGGCAGCATTTGAGGCCTGTTAAGAGTCATGGGTCAATGGGCTGTGCGCTCTTTCTCTCTCTCCCTCCCTCTCCCTTTTTCTCTTTCTGTCTCTGTGTCTCTGTCTCTGTCTCTGTCTCTCTCTCTCTGTGTACTGTTTTGAACTCAGGGCTAGTCTTTTAGGCACACACATACATTTCAGCCCTTTCTGCATCTTTTCTGATGTTATTTATTTTCTGGTACTGTGCTATGGTTTTGCCTGGGGCAGGTTCCAGATAGTGATTCCACACTTGCCTGCTGTGTAGCTGGAATTACAGGAAACAGCTGCCACATTCAGGTTATTGATTGAGATGAGGTCTTCAAAATCCTTTTTCTCTCCTCCTCTCAAGTCTCTAGGATTACAGACACTAGTCACCATGCCAGGCATTTTCCCTCTTGTTCACAGAACAAATTCCAACTCTGTGAATCCTGGGATCTTTGTCCTGAGTCTCATGGGGTCATCAGGGTCCCTGAGATTCTACAGGATCAAATACTGGTCACCACTGCAGAGCCATTTATGCTTCCACCGTGAGACTCTGTTCATTCTTAACAGTCCCAGCAAAGGACTGGAGACATCACAGAGGAGTGTGGCTCATAAACTCAGGAGAGATGCTGTCACACTGTGGACACAGAGGCAGGGCAGACAGCAGGAGAGCAGTCCCTGGGCTCTGTGTGCAGCTGCTCCTGAGCTGACCCGGCTCCAAGCTGTGCCGAGCGCCCCCTGCTGGTGCTGAGCACCCTGCAGGGAGGTTTGTGTCTGGCCCCCACTGGATTTCCTGCACTGTGTCTCTAGCACAGTAATAGACGGCCTTGTCCTCCACTTTCAGGCTGTTCATCTGCAGGTAAAGTGTGTTCTTGCTATTGTCTCTGGAGATGGTGAAGCGGCCCTTCACGGAGTCTGCGTAGTATGTGCTACTACCACCTTCATTAATTTCTCCAAGCCACTCAGGCCTCTTCCCTGGAGCCTGGCGGAGCCAGTGCATGTAGTAATCACTGAAGGTGAATCCGGAGGCTGCACAGGAGAGTCTCAGGGACCCCCCAGGCTGCACCAAGCCTCCCCCAGACTCCACCAGCTGCACCTCACACTGCACACCTGCAAATACAGAGAATCCTGCTCAGCAGTGGTCACACACACCCACTGTTCCTCCCACTCATGTCCATTTGCGCACTCAGTGTCCCTTGCTCCCCATAAATCACCTTTCAACAGAGCAACAAGGAGAACCCAGCGCAGCCCCAGCTCCATGGTGGTGGTCTGTGCTCAGTCACTGGTGGAATCAGCTCACAGAGCTCAGGTCAGGGATGGGCTGGTTTTCATGGGCAGAGGGACGTCCTATTTGCATGTCCTCTGCTATAAAGCAGCTCTGGGGCAGAAGTTTCAGGAGGGCAGTGCACAGAGGTGGAAGGCAGGTAGAAGGCAGAGTTTGTTAGATGAGTGGATCAACTGTGAAATGTCTCTAATCAATTGGCTTCAAGATTAAACACTAAGGGAATATGAACTTCTTTAAAGTTTAACTTTCCTTCAGTTAGTCAAGATTGCTGAGCCATTTGATTTTTAAAGATTGTATTTCCCTTTTCCTTTTGAATTCTTTCTTACTGTGTTTGTATTTGGGATGTTGAGGTGGACATATGAAAGGTAGAACAAGGATGAACAAATACAACAGTGATACTCACCAGACACTATGTGCAAAATGAACTGGGCCTGAACTCTGGGCCTGGGCGCTGCCCCTCACCTCTTCAACTCAAGGCCAGTGCTAAATCACTTGAGCCACAGCCCCACTTCTGGCTTTTTCTGATTTTGTGGTGCTGAGTAATTGAACCCAGGGCCTCGGGCATGCAAGGCAAGCGCTCTACCACTGAGCCACCTCCCCAGCCCCAAAATGGAAATCTTATGGATGGGGACAGGAGGGAAGGATTGGGAGAGAGCAACAGAGAGGAAGAATGGTTCATAAAGAACTGCACTGATGGTACCTGATTCACGTAACTGTAACCGCTCTGTACATCAACAACACATAAAAGTTTTTAAAAATTAAATAAAAAATAAAACACCTTGATCTTTAAATCGCTCTATATAGGCATTGCCATTCAGTGAGGCAGTTTATGAACACAGTATGGCTTGATCAACGTTGCCCATTTCAACATTCTTGCCCACCCCTCAAACCTCCTCTTCCCTCTCTCTGGTTAATGTTCAGGACATGTATGCTGACATCATTGAACACAGCAGTTCATGGATACAAGGCATGTGGATCTGAGTCATTCCTTCCTCACCTTTCCCCTTTGACCCACCCTTAGCTCAGTGTTCTCAATTCTGTGGCATACGCATTGTATTCTTGCCTGCGTTCTCCACGTTGTCTACATCATTCTTCTACCATTTGCCCCTCATCTCTCCACTCCCAGTGCCCTCTTTCTGGTGCTTACTTTGTTGGTCTTTGACTTCGTCTTTGTGAAGAGCTATACTCTTAGATCTCTCCATAGGGTCTATTGTATGTGTCTCCCAGTGAGACATATAACAACAGGGACTTGAGTCCCTGCTGGGTGCATACAGTGTGGACGTGCACACACGAGGTCTCACTCATTTATATATTGTACTGGGTACAGGTGTGCATATACAGTGTGGATGTGCACACCTATATATTGGGCTGGGTACAGGTGTGCACACACAGTGTGGATGTGCACATATATATGTTGTGCTGGGTACAGGTGTGCACACAGTGGATGTGCACACACAAGATCTTTCTCTCTCTTTCTTGCACACATACACACACACACCCACACACACACACACACACACAGACGGTACAGGGCATACCTGGGCAAGAAGCCCCATGCATGGGGTCTGTGTGTCTGCAGCTCTCTCAGGCTCGATTTTCACTGAGCTTTGTCACGTGCAGTACTGAGCACAGGTCACCCCACAGGTCAGTTAGGCTTTGCTCTCTGGGTTTGCCGAGCCCATAGTTCTGAGGACGCTGTCTAGTGGTCTTCCTGCGCTGTCCCCATTTCTCTCATTGTCTCTGCCTGTCCCCATGAATCAGACGGTCTCCACACATCCATCTTGGATTCTGTGCCCTGCAGAGAGACCATGTAACACCCCGAGGCTTGTGCTCTATACAGGGTCAGCACTGAACCCCTCGCTGCCAGGACACAGGATTCACCCCTGCGAAGACTGAGGTGGCCACATGGGCACCCAGGGCAGTGTGGAGGGGGTCTGTCCAGGGCGTCCTGGGCTGCATGGTGCCCGCACCATTCATGCCCCACTCTGCCCTCATCCTGAGCCCTGCGTCTGTGACAGAGTGGCTGCTCCAAGGCTCCGTTCAGGTCTCAGCTCCGGGAGCCCCACTTCGGTTCCTCTTTCCATCACAGTCTCTTATCAGAGATCCTGGACCACTCCAGCATTCATGCCGAAGCTCATCTCTCTGCTCTGTCAGGTTTTCTGTTTACTTCTTTTTTCCAGCTAGTCCTGGGCCTTGAACCTGGGCCTGGACTCTTTCCCTGAGCTCCATTTGCTCAGGGCTAGCGCTTTTCCTGTAGAGCTAGCACCACTCCTGTCTTTGTCTGTGATTAATGGGAGATCAATGTCTCACGGAATTTCTGGCATAGGATGATTTTGAATTGTGGTCCCCAGATCTGAGCCTCCTGAAAGCTAGGATGACAGGTGTGAGCCACCAGTGTTGGGCCATTTTTTCTTTTCAAATTAGCTTCATTGTACCAAATAATGGGTTTCCTTATGACATTTTCACACGCATAATGCACTTTGATTACACGCTCTCCTGCCCCTGATCAGTCTTGCTGGCTTCTGCATGCTATTGCCATTCCAATTTTATATTCATGCTTTTGATCTTCTCCAGATCTTTATTCTAGCTAAGAGACAAACACGCAGTATTACTCCTTTGGTGTCTGGCTTATTTTCATCAACAAAGTGTTCTCTATTTTTTCTATTTTCCTTCCAGTGAAGTAAGTTCATTTCTCTTTATAGCTGAGTAATTCCATTCTGTATCCATTATTTCTCTTTATAGCTGAGTAATTCCATTCTGCATAGATAACAAACTTTCTAGGTTCATCCTTTGAGGAATCCATGAAGGGACCCAGTCTGATCCCCAAACCTTTCCTATTGTGGACAGTTCAAGACAAACACAATTGTGCGGTCACTATATCATAGACTGCCAGAGACCCCTTGGGGTGTGCAGGAGTGAGGAGAAGGATCATGGTGGCTTTGCTTTTAGTCTGTGGAGGGTTTTCCATTCTGAGTCCCATAGTGCACTCACTCACATTCTGAGGGCACCACGGAAGGTTTCTTTTCCTGCATCTTTGCCAGTTCTTGTTTGTTCTCTTTATGATTGACAGGGTACAGTTGGAATGCAGTGCAGTCATGATGTGTATTTCGTTTATGACTGAGAATATTGAATGTCTTTTATGTGTTATTGGCCATAGGAGATTCTTATTTTGAGCTCTGACCTATTCCTCTATATATTTATTAATGGAATTGTGTGTACTGGTGTTTAGTTATTTGAGGGATTCATGTATCCTGGAAATTCATCCTCTGTCAGATGCATGTATGGCCAAGATTTCTTCCCCTTCTGCATATCCTGTGTTTACTGTAGGAATTGAATGTTATTCTCTCCTCAGTGGCAAAATGTGAATTAAGTCTTGTGCACTTCCAGCACTACTTCTTTTGCTCAAGGTCTTTGGTACTTCCATGTGACATTTAATATCACTTTCATTTTCCATTTCTGGAAAGAAGGCCATGGGACTTTTGATGGAGGTTGATCAAGTCTTTAGACCTCTTTTGGTAATATGGCCATTTTCACAGTATCTGTTTTCTGGATCCTTGTAATTTAATGTCCTTCCACTGCCTTTATTTTTATGACTGTCCCCTTCAATTCCTTACATCAGTGTTTTAGAGTTGTCATTGTAGAGGGCCTTCTGTCCTTGGGTATATTTATGCTGGACATTTTATTTTTTTATTGTGAAAAGACGGTACAGAGGAGTTAGAATTACATGGGCAAGATAATGAGTACATTTCTTATCAAGCATTGTAGCCTCCTCCTTTGTTTCCCCTTCCCATCCCTTTCCATCCTCTCCCCGCACCTCCATCCAATCCTCCTCCTCCCCCCACACCAAAGTTGTAAAGTTCGTTTTTGAAATAATGACTTGTACATCTCATTGTTGCAATAGGTCCACCTGTATCCCTATTTAAATGATTTGTTTTTTCCCTTCCCCTCCACAAATTATACCAACATCAAATAAAGTAAAAAGAGGGGTTATACGGTAGGGGAGGGATATAAAAAGCAACAAAGAAATAATCTTATAAATGTGTTAGAAACAATCACGTGAAAGAAAAAAAAACATTTGAATACTTATCTTAGGTTTCCTTTCCCCAACATCAACTTAACTGACCTTTTCTGCTTGACTCAGACATATACAAGTTATTGCAAATAAGGGAAACCATGGGGCTTATGTTTCTTTGGGCCTGGCTTACTTCACTTAATATAATTTTTTCCAAGCCTTTCCATTTCCTAACAAATGGGGCAATGTCATTCTTTCTGATGGAGGCATAGAATTCCATTGTGTATATATACCACATTTTCTTGATCCATTCATCTGCTGAGGGGCATCTGGGTTGGTTCCATATCTTAGCTATAGTAAATAATGCTGCAATAAACATAGTCGTGCTGGTAGCTTTAGATACACAGCTATTTTAGAATGGTCTATTTGTATGTGTGCATACACATTGACACACCCATTATATATACAAACTATAGGCTGGTGTGTGTAAATATGCATGACTTATATACACACATAATTGAGACTAACACACACATGTACACCCTTACCTATGAGCTTTCAAGACAAGGAATGAAGTAGTTCAATTGGAAAGATACTTTTCTAGTCTTTTTTTTTGTAAGTCTAAGATCAAAACTCAAATTGGTGCCTGATGCTTTTACTCATTGGTTGGAGCTCTACCAATGGAACCAGCCTCCAAACTTGGAGATTATTTCCGCAATGTAGCCCACATTTAATTTAATTTAATTTAATTTTTTTTGGGTCCGGTTGTGGGACTTGAACTCTGGGCCTGGATGCTGTCCCTCAGCTCTACCACTTGAACCACACTGCCACTTCTGGCTTTTTTTCTTTTTGCTTATGTGGTGCTGAGGAATCGATCCCAGGGCCCTCATGCATGCAAGGCAAGCGCTCTACCACTGAGCCACCTTCCCAGCCCCCCACATGTTATTTCTGACACACAATGTAAATCCACTCACACTGTGTGCATGTGAGTACATAACAGGGCTGGCAATGTTTCATTTGGGCAACACAGGCACTGATGATTTCTTCAACTCGAGGTATCAGTGCCATTTTTGAGAAGGGTCTGGTGATTTTGGTCATATTCTCACCTGGAGCTCCATCTTCCTATGTGAAGTTTCCATCTGTGGATTATAGGCACATGTCAGAACACTGAGCATCTTCCTCTGAGATGGAATCTCATGAACTGCTTGGCCTGGCTGTGCTGGCCTGGTGAGCTCCTCAATCTCAGTCTGCAGGAGTAGGGATGTCACACACACACACACACACACACCACAGCAAATGGTTGAAAAGAGTTTCCTGAAACATCTAGCTAGAATAGTTCTCAACCTTCAAGCAGAACAGCTAGCCTTATGTGCTTGGACCACAGGTACCTGTCCTGAGCACTGTAGGTACAGCAGTCCCCTTCCTGTCTGTGTCCTGTCCAGTACTGTTCAGGGCATTTGCAAGAGCCTCCAGGGCCTGTGAGACGCTGACTCGGCAGAGAAAAGTGAGGCTGAACCTCTGGAGGTCTGGAAATGGAGGCACCTGGAGAAAGGCCCTCATGGCTGGGCTGGGGAAGGCCAGTGTGTGGTCTTCACACACGTGTCTGTGTCCCAGTGATCTGCAGTGCTTTACACTACTGGGCTATGAGTTTGTTATGTTTTTCTCTTCTTGGCTAAATGTGTACATTTCCATCATCAGTGTTTGACAGCTACATGCACACTCCACCTGAAACCTTTGTTTTCCTGGTTCCGACATGTTTACCTGACCCGTTCCTGAGCGCTGGACATTCAGTGAATTCTAGTTGTGAGTGTGCTGACACACTTCCATTAGTGAACAATTCTGTGTTCAGGGTCAGCCAGAACTAACTTCTATCATGACAGATACAAGCCTGCAGGCTGTATTTTTTTGTGCTGTCCTGGGTTGGAGCCCAGGGCCTGGACCCAGCCCATGAATTGTTGCTGAAGTCTAACACTCTACCACTTGAGCCACAGCTTCCCTACTGCTGTCTTGGATCATTAGATTTGAGCAGCCCAGACTTGCCTGCACAGGCTGGCTTCCCACATGAGCTTCAGATGTCAGACCCCGGAATAGCTAGGATCAGAGGCTCCACTTTTCTTTTTAAAGCAGAGCCCAGGACCTGTTCATGAACATTTGGCAAGGAAGCTGAGATGTGAACTTAGAGAAGAAAGAGGAAACCAACTGAGACCCTTAGGGGAAGAGGAAAGCCCACAGGCTGCCAGGAAAGAGCAGCAGCTGCACCTTCCTGATGCTCGGGGCCAGCACAGAGCTGAGGCCCAGCCTGAGATCTTGTGCAGGAGGCCCCCGTGGCTGTGCCTCTGTGGTCTCTAGCACAGTAATAGGTCTGCAGAGTCCACGCTGTCCAATGTGAGGAACACCTGGCTGTTGGAGCTGTCCTTGGAGATGGAGAGCCGGCTCTTCAGGGCTGGGTTGTAGTACTTATCATCATCCCACCACACATTGGCCAGCCACTCCAGGGTCTTCCCTGGGGGCTGCCGGATCCAACTCACACCCACACCATAAGTGCTCAGAGAGAATCCCGAGATGGAGCAGGTGAGTTTGAGGGTCTGGGAGGGTGGCAGCAGCCCAGGGCCAGACTCCTTCAGGGCAATCTGGGCCAGGGCCCCTGTGGAGAAACACCAGGCGGAGGTGAAGCAGGGTCAGGGGAGCACAGGAGACTTCCCACCCCAGGGCCCTGAGCAGAGCACTCACAGGAAGGGAGAGTGAGCAGCAGGAGGGTAGAGCACAGCCTGTCCATGCTGTCCTGTCCACAGCCGTCCTCAGCCAAGCTCAGTGCTGGTCTTTTCAACCCAGGCGTGGGAGGGGCCGGGTGCATTTGCATTCCTCTCACCTGGTGCTGACTCCACCTCCTCCGCTCAGGCCTCATGGCTCAGGATGGGGAGTCTGAGGAGGGCAGGTCTGGTGCACTGTTGGGCAGTGTCCACGTCTGCTGGATGGGGACGGCCAGTGACACTCAGAACCAGGTTCTGAGCACAGCTTTGGTTCAACGCTGTGGTTCAGAGGCAGTGAGGCTCTGGGCCTCTCTCTGGAAGACAGGACCCTGTCCCCAGACAGCAAGGCAAAGACCCTGCACCTGGTTCAATCTGGAGAGGGTGGGAGAGAGACCAAGAGAGATGGAGCTCATTTTGTCCTCAGAGGAGGAGGCTGTGTCTAGGGCAGGCAGGGAGGCTCCTCCGTGTCCTGCAGCTCTTGACCAGCAATGCTTCACGTTCACTCAAGTAAGAGGGCTCACATAAGGAAGCTCCATGCGGACCCCTGGCCAGCTCCCCAGATGAAGCCCAAGGAGCGTGTGCCAAGTTCCCCAGCAGGCAGCAGACACGCTGAACACTCCACCTGTGTGTTTGTGTATTTGGTGCAATTGGGAAATTCTCGTGTTTCACTCATATTTATTTGAGAGACACATGGAGAAACTTAAAAGTTCTTTCATATCACATCTCACGTTTGAATCTGGAGGTTTTATCAGGTGACATATCACTGATGGAGGTTGATCTTCAGTCGTCAATGAGGTAACATCTCACCGTGTAACATAATCTATTGTCCTTAGTGACACCTTCACCAGCTGACAAGCACAAAGAGAAGATGCAGCTAACCTCAGGAAGGACTTCCAGCAGGGCTGAGGTTGGGCTTTGGAGTCCCAAGGTTTCCTGTGGATCTCGTGGGCTGAGGTGGCTGATGGCGGCGTGCAGTGGTGAAGATTGGAGTCTGTGTGGTACCATGGACCATGCTGGGTCGTTGTGTCTGATATGTCTGACTGACATGCAGCTGTCCTGAACTGGGAGGTCTGACCACCACACTTGGGCTCACATGGTGGGTCGAGGTCCTTTGTCATGTGGGCTGAGCTCATATGTCTCAGCCTAGGACAAGTGTGTGCTACAGAATGAACCAGGAATGTCTGAAAGGCCTGGACTGCCGCTGGGCTCAGGAAACCAGTGCAGCCACCTGATTCCTTGGTGTCCCACCAAGGTTTTCTCCTCATTCTGTAGAGATGCAAGGCAAAGGCAGAGTCTGGGCAGCTGCTGGCCCAGCATGGTGTCCATGGGTTGGAAGACAGACCTCTGTTCACAAGACGGTGACAGCTGGAGACTCGCATGGCCAAGGCTCCTGTAGGAAGGCACTCGGCTCAGCAGGATGCTGGCTCACACCTGTGCTCTGTCCACTCTGCTGTTATCCATGGGATCCTGCTGCTCAGCTGGGAACAGCAGCCAGGGCATCACTGCTGATTAGCTAAGAGGCTGAGGCAGAGCCCTCACAGGAGATCTAACTCTGATAGTGATGTGAATATCCATGGAAGCAGAGTGAATCTCACTCAGGTAGACAAGATTCCTATGAAGTGTGATGTGTAAGAAAGCAGAAGAGAGGAAGAAGGAGGAGCAGTAGGAAGCAGAGGTGGAGAAGAAGAGAGAACAGAAGGAAACATTAAAAGGATGTGAGGATGGGAAGAAGAGCAGGAGGAAAACTATTAAAATTATCTCAAATGTAAGGGGAGGTAGAAAAACTGAAGGGCTGGTCTGTGAGTTCATACAAGTAGAAATCCCAATTTTAGTTTTTCAGTGAAAAAGTAGAAAAGGCAGCTGGTTAGCTTTTGTCTCTACACCCTAGAATTCCATCTCTGTCACTCATTTAAAGTCCATCCACAGGTAAAACTTCATGTACTGCATGACATTGTCCAAAAGAATCTACTCATTACCTGAGTTAGGAAATGGTAAGTGGTCTGGACAACACTTTAATAATTACAATATACTTATATAAAAACTTCATGTACTAATTATTGGGGAACAAAACATCTTTATATTAGATGTTCCACACACCCAAAATGTGCACTTATTTCAGTAAGCACACATAAAAATAAAACATAAACGATTCATGTCTAATTTAAATGTAAAAATATCCTGACAAGCTCTGGATCTATTGCTCTACAGTTGTACTAAGGAATATTTCAAACTCTGTTCCAATAAAAAGGAATTAAAATCATCTGGTACTGGTGACTTATGACTATAATCCCAGCTCCATGGGAAGCTGAGATGTGATGATCATGGTTTGAAGTCATCCAGGGTAGGAAAGTCCATGTCACTAGCATCTCCATTAACTGCCAATGTGGGTGTGTGTTGTATTGTACACCTGCACCTCCCCCAGCCCCAGGCACAGGCCTGAGAAGATAAACTACTATTTCTAGTTGACTTCCTGGTTCATTCTGAACAAATCTGGACTTGCACTGCCCTCTAGTGCTGACGTAATGACAGCACACGAGCAGCGACTCCCAGCAAAGCTAGACTTCAGCAGCCTCCAGGCAGGCAGAGTGGAAGTGACCAGCACTGCAGAGAGCAAGGAACTGAGCCAAGGCCCGGAACAGCCCCGGTGCCCCTCAATGGACGAATGGACGGAGTGGTATAGGAGCACCATGGAATTACTCATCTACTAGAAAGAATGATTTTACCTCATTCGCAAAGAAATGCACAGGCCTGGCAAAAGTTAGCTTAAGTGAGGTAAGTCAGGCCATAGAGACAAGGATGCAAGTTCTCCCTCCTGTGTGGAAGCCCGATCTAATCCATACATGTGCCCGTGAACACAAACAGGATTGTGTGTACAAGTGCACACAAATGTGTTACCTGACTCTGGTGTCTGCAATGCAAATGGTGTAATTCCTTAGAATACTAGCTGACACTCCAAGATGAATACCAGGCACTAGCTCTGGAAAGGTGTTGGAGGGGAAGGGGAGGGGTGAGAAAGCAGCCATGATATCAATGCATCTCTGAGGAAACTAAACAAATGAGGGGAGGGGCGGGGTCGGGAGGCTGAGGAGAATGATGAAAGGGTCACTTTGATCAAGGCGGATGGTTCGTATGAACAGATTGGCTGAGGAGTCACTTCTTTGTACTACTTAAAGAAAGTAAATATAAGTTTACTAAAGAAAGCAGCTTGAGTTTCTCTCTCCTATTTTTTCTTCTTTGTCAGTCGTGGGTTTGAACTCAGGGCCTGGGTGCTGTTCTGGAGCTCTCTTTGCTCAAGGCTAGCTCTCGACTCCTTTGAGCCACAGTACCACTTTCAGTTTTTGAGTGGTCAACTGGACATAAGAGTATCACAGGCCTTTCCTGCCCAGGTTGGCTTTGAACCATGATCCTCAGGTCTTAGCCTCCTGAGCAGCCAGCATTACAAGGCATGAGCCACTGGTGCTCAGCTCACCTTTGAAGTTCTAGAAAGAGAGGGAAAAACATAGGTTGATAAGATGGACTGGAATAAATACCTGGCCCTCGATTGTCTAGAGGATATCATTTGTCAGCAAGTATGGAACGGTCACATATGGAGAATCATGTCCCATGTCAGTTATCACATCCCCCTGTAGTTTAGATCTAATTCCCACATATCAGAAGAACGTGGGCCATTTATCTCTCTGAGCTTGGCTTACCTCATCACACAGTTTGTTCTAGGTCCATCCATGTCCCTGCAGATGACAACTTTGTTCTTCCTAATGGCTGTGTAAAATGCCCCTGTGTGTAGGTACCACAGCTTTGGATCCACTCCTTCATTTGGGCGTCTGGGCGGTTTCCACATCTTGGCTATTGTGATTAGCGTGTCAATGGACATGGACAGGCAGCTGTCCTCATATCCTGGCTCCTGATGTCAGGGTCAGTGCCCAGGAGGGCTATGGCTGGGTCTAGGGAGGCTCTGTGTCAACAAATATGTAATGGTCACATAAGGGAACTTATGTCACCCCCCTCCCCCACACACAGACACACACAGACACAGACACACAGACACAGACACATACACACTGAGGGGGGACGTGCATCTGGGCTGGTTCTATACTTTAACCTGATGAGTCTAAAGCATCCTGGTTTGTAATCTTCTGGATAAATTCCCAGGAGTGGAATTGCTGGACTACAGAACAGTTTGATGTTAATTTTCTTTAATATTTACAATGTTATTGAAAAGCTCATGTACAGAGAGTTACAGTTACCGAAGACAGGTGATGAGGACATTTCCATTTGAACAGTGTCAAACATTCCCCCATTTCCACAGTTTTTCTCCTCCTGACTCTCTTTCCTTCCCCCACAAAGTAGAGATTATCTTGCTTCCTGCACACATCTGTGTCCACATGGACACAGAACGGATGCTTCCTGAACAAGTGAATACTTTGTCTGATTATCCACAAAAACTGTCCAGGGAAAGCCTCAGAACTCGCAAGTCTTCTTCCTAAAGCCTGTAGAGTTCACACACACGTTCTTGTTCAGAAAGTGAAGCTTGCTCTTCTCTGATCAGGATGTAATGGAGAAATAAACAAGGACCTGTTTGAGCAGGTGGGGGTGTCTGGGATGCAGGGAGCTCAGTCAGATTGCTGTGAGATCACCTGGGCCCAGCCCCTCATGCCTACGATGCACTTGTGCGATGGACCAGCTCAGCCAGAGCACTGGGACCAACGGGACAGGGATCTCGGGATAGGTGGGCAAGGAATCGGCAAAGTGACAGACACAGACTCAAAAGAGTTGCATCTGAGTGTATCTTCATTGAGGAGAATTAACATTTTTATACAGTGTGTGATTGTGACATAGATTCTTTGTTTGTTTAAGCATGTAATCAATTTTTAAGAAAAGCAAATCATTGATGGGTTATATGGAAACTGATGACTATCCCACCAACTGTTTGAGCTAAGTGGCGTGAGACAAGTCTAGCATATTGTTTAATAGAATGCGTCATCTCTTCAGCCTTTTTATGTTTAATAATTAACAAACCTAAGACAGGGCTGTACTTATACTGTACTCTTTTTATTTTTTCCATATATTTTCAAGTCCCTTTGAAACCATCCTAAAAGCCAATTCCAGGTTGAGTCAGGCATTCTCCATTTTCTATAATTTTAATCCCAATATTTGTTCACATAAATTTCTAATTGTTATTTTAAACTATCTTGTTGTTGTTTTAATAATAAACACCATAAAGGTCTAGAGCTGCCTAATCTTAGCATAAAATCTAATGAGTACCAAATACTCTTTCCTTTTACATTAATCCATTTTCATCTTTATAAGTTCCTGTGTAAGGCAATGGTTCATCGGTCAGTTCAGGAAATGTGATGTCACTAACTTTATATTTTGTGGGAAACCACCATCTATTCCCTAGAACATAAGCTAGACCAAACTTAGTCATAACTGTTGGGGGAATCTTTCTTTTCCTTTTATTATCAGGGATCCCTTTTCCTAGAACTTGCTGTGCTTCTGGGATAACTCCTTCTGGTTAGTTTAATTCATTAATTCTGCCTGTTGTAACATATCTGGAAATTTTAAGTTTCTATATTTACTATACGTGAGCCGCAAAACTGCTTGTGAAGTTGCAGGAGCTTCTGGAGGCAGCGTCACATCAGATGATAGATTGATTGGGGCATTGCCCACATCTAATCTTTGGTCCTAGTCTTTAATATTCAGAGAAGCCGTCTCTATTGGACTGGAAAGATAAAACATGCTCTGTTCACAGATCAATAGAAAAATAGGCAAAATGAGATTAAAGGCAACGAATGTACAGCCAAGAAGAATATAATAAGAATAAAGGTAGAGGCAATAAAGATGCAGCCAAGAGTATGGGAAGCCTTGAACCAACACCCCCTTCCTGCAGGTATGCTTCCTTGAAGCTTATGCTTTGCCTTGCCCGATCTCTCATGCAGACCCCACAGGAGGTGGCATGGCACACTTGCACAGTGACAGTGCTCATGATGGAACCACAGGGACCTGGCCTCCATCCCAGATGGGACATCCACAGGACTCCAGAGCCATCGTGATGGAGGAAACCCCAGGGCAGACGGGGCCCAGTAAGGGCAGTCTACATGCACATGGCCTGTTGTCTGTCCAGTCCAACCCAGACTCCTTGTGTCCACTTCCACGTCCCCTGGAGGACAGCAAGAGGCCCTGGTCAAGGGAGACTGAGGAGTCCACCACGTTTCCAGGGTACCATCGGCTGAGTTCCAGGGGTATGGCCGACCCCTGTGTTTTATGAATTGGGTCCCCAAGTACATTTGGTGGTTGGACAAAGAGAAAAGGAGGCTGTGATACCAAGAATCACTGATTCAGAAAGTGAATGAATGTAGCAATTCTGTTAGGTCAGTTCTGAACCCCTGAGCAGTGCTACAGGTGGAGGGAGGAGGGCAGGATTTGAGGTCTGTTAAGAGTCATGGGTCAATGGGCTGTGCATGCTCTCTGTCTGACTGTCTGTCTTTCTGTGTCTGTCTCTGTCTCTCTCTCTCTCTGTACTGTTTTGAACTCAGGGCTACTATTTTAGGAACACACCTGCATTTCAACCCTTTCTACAGCTATTTAATGTTATTTATTTTCTGGTACTGTGCTGTGGTTTTGCCTGGGGCAGGTTCCAGACAGTGATTCCACACTTGCCTCCTGTGTAGCTGGAATCACAGGAAACAGCTGCCACATTCAGCTTATTGATTGAGATGAGGTCCTCAAAATCATTTTGCTCTCCTCCTCCCAGGTCTCTAGGATTGCAGACATGAGTAACTGTGCCAGGTGTTTTCCCTCTTGTTCACAGAACAAATTCCAACTCTGTGAATCCTGGGACCTTTCCCTGAGTCTCGTGGGGTCACCAGGGTCCCTGACTTTCTTCAGGATCAAATACTGGTCACCACTGCAGAGCCATTTTTGCTTCCAACGTGATACTCTGTTCATTCTTAACAGTCTCAGCAAAGGACTGGAGACATCACAGAGGAGTGGGGGTCATGAACTCAGGAGAGATGCTGTCACACTGTGGACACAGAGGCAGGGCAGACAGCAGGAGAGCAGCCCTGGGCTCTGTGTGCAGCTGCTCCTGAGCTGACCTGGCTCCAAGATGTGCCGAGCGCCCCCTGCTGGTGCTGAGTGCCCTGCAGGGAGGTTTGTGTCTGGCCCACACTGGATTTCCTGCACTGTGTCTCTAGCACAGTAATAGATGGCCGTGTCCTCCACTCTCAGGCTGTTCATCTGCAGGTAAAGGGTGCTCTTGCTGTTGTCTCTGGAGATGGTGAAGCGGCCCTTCACAGAGTCTGCGTAGTATATGCTACTACTATCACCACGGATGTGTGAGAGCCATTCAGGCCTCTTCCCTGGAGCCTGGCGGACCCAGCTCATCCAGTAATTACTGAAGTCAAATCCGGAGGCAGCACAGGAGAGTCTCAGGGACCCCCCAGGCTGCACCAAGCCTCCCCCAGACTCCACGAGCCGCACCTCACACTGCACACCTGCAAACACAGAGAATCCTGGTCAGCAATGGTCACACACATTCACGGTTCCTCCCACTCATGTCCATTTGCACACTCAGTGTGTCTTGTCACCATACATCACCTTTCATCAGAACAACAAGGAGAACCCAGTGCAGCCCCAGCTCCATGGTGAGAGGTCTGTGTCAGCCTGAGCCCTGAATGGTTCACCTGGAATCCAGGGCTGACGTCTCTCCATGCCTTCAGGGTCAGGGCTGCCTGGTTTTAGTGAGTAGAGGAAGGCCCTATTTGCATGTCTTCTACTACATAGTGAGAGCCGGGGTGGAGGTGTCAGGGAGGGCAGTGCTGAGGCAGATGTGAGAGTCCTGAGGGGCATTGCTACAAAGATGGCCTCCCAGAACACATGGCATCCCATTGCTGCCACCTGCTGGTTATCCACGTATTCGTCCCACGTTGATCTGAATATTACAGTCACCTCCCTGCACAGACGGGAAAGTACACACAGGTTCCACACAGCCGTGTGCACTGGGGAGAAGATCTCATGTCTGCTACGTCATCTGTCCTTCCTCTCCCTCATTGCTGAGGTCAGTGTCCTCTGCTCCATTCTTGAGCTGAGTGGGTCACGGTCCTCTAGTGAGAGTAGGAGAGACGTGATGCACTGCAGGAACTGCTGAAAGAAGACTCAGAGAGCCAGGCTCATGGGGACACTGCTGACAAGCCTGCATTTCTTCTGTCATCATCTACATGTCTGTCACTTCCTCTCATCTCATCGACTGCTTACTGCCAACAACCTCACTGAGGATAAATGCCTACATGAACCTCACAGTCACCAAGTGTGCACTTGACATGCATTAGCCTAGGGACAGCTACACAATATCTGTACAAGTCTTTGCCAGTTCATCAATGGGTTTTCCAACAGTTGACTGTTGAGGTTCCTCTCACAGTCTGGATGCACAAATGCCGTTGGTTGTGGGATTTGACAACATTTCTTCCACTTCAAAGCCTGTTATTTATTTATTTTTCACTTGAACAGGAATTTGATGAGTTTTAAGTCACATCTTTAATTGATCCTGATATAAAATCTAAATTATCAATTGGCTATTCCTTGGGCTCTATATTCTGCATAGAAAGCCTTGATTTTCCTGTGTCTTCATTGGAGACCTTGCAGTTGATGTATGTGCACATGGATGTGAATGGGAGACCTGACTAGTTATTGATGTCTGAGCATGTGTGTACAGAGGCATTCATATGGCACACTTTCCATAATACTACTCACAACTGTGGCTTCTTACTCAAACTTTAGTCAAAGTGTCAGGAGGGTTGTGCTTCTGGGTTCCATAACTTGGAGGTCCAAGTGGAAAGTCAAGTGTTGGTCCCCAGCACGTCAGCACAGAGAGGAGGTGAATGTTCAGAATGGGGCCTGGTGGGAGGGGTGCAGGCCCTGGGCCTGGGGTTGAACAGGACAGAGCCTCCCTCAGGACCAGAAACCCTGATGTCCCGCAGTCATTTCAGTTCCTGATGGTGACGTTTAAAATGTGTGTGTGTGTCTTATGTTAAAATCTCAGCAGAACACAGAAGGTGCTGTGCTGTGAGTCTGGGTTTGGGGTGACTGCCTCTGAAATGTCCCTGGTTCTTCTTTGTTTTCCTGGTCAGCAGCCCCGGCCTCTCTCTCCACAGGAAATCTTAGGCCACAGTCGTACTGCCACACCTCCTAATAGAACTCTCTGTTCATTACCCATTGATTCTTTATGACTACATTTTCCTGTTTCCTCTTCTCACATTTTATTACCTGTAGTCAAAGAAAGCAATCCTGAATGCTTGACGCTGCTGAGAGATTCACACTCCCATAAGCTTGCTGGCCTACCCTAGGTGGACTTCTACAGTCACCCAAGATGTGAACGTACCTCAGCCACTTCTGCCACGTCCTCCCTAGGATGTCCTGTGCTCCATGCTCCCTACCCTGTCCCTAATTTCTACTTGGTGTCTGTCCATCTGTCTTCCTACTCCATCTTCTGTACGGTCACGTCCTGTCCACCCTCGCAGAAGGTGGATGCAGTTGTGCAGGCTGTGCAGGTTGTGCACGATGTCCACCCATCTCCTCCAGAAGGATGAGCCATGCCTGATCCCCAGGAAGACACATCCAGCAGTGTGGTGAGCCCCCAGCACACACGCAGTCAAGTGCGGTTGCACACTCATGAAGGTGAGTATGAACATGGGTGTGTCAAGTCAGATGCTGGTCTGCTGTGCACACACTGGTCTGACCTGGTCTCATGAGCACTGCCTGGGCGGAAGGACGGAGGCCGGTCCTGTCAGCACAGGCTCAGGAGTCTGCAGTCACCGCTCCCACAGCCGGGCCCAGTCTGTGCTCACCAGGAAGCCCGGAGTCTCTGTGTTGACCCTGCGGGAGAGCACGCACCTGGGAGCCCTGAGCACTCCAGACCCGCCCTGGCCTGTGCGGAGCCAGCTCTGCCCTGAGCCGGAGCCTGGGCATCGCTGCTGTCAGGCCCCTGCCTGGTGTTCAGATGGAAGGAGCCCAGCCTCTGCCTCCGAGCAGCAGCGCAGGGGAGACACCAGCTGGGGTCCTGGAGCCCTGGGAGGGTGGAGGCCAGACCCCAGGGCCACCTCCTCACCACACCTGCAGCTGACGCGGCTCAGCGCCTGCTGGCCTAGGCCGCTGCACCTGTGTGTCTGGGCCCCACTGGCTCCTCTCACTGTGCCCTGCACAGTGACACAGGGCCGTGTCCTCGGTTCTCAGGCTGCTCATTTGCAGGTACAGTGTGCTTTTACTGTTGTCTCTGGAGATGGTGAACCGGCCCTTGACAGAGTCTGCGTACCATGTGCTACCATCCCTGGATTAATTCGTGCAACCCACTCCAGCCCCTTCCCTGGAGCCTGGTGAATCCAGTCCATGTAGTAACCACTGAAAGTGAATCCGGAGGCTGCACAGGAGAGTCTCAGGGACCCCCCCCCCAAGGCTGCACCAAGCCTCCCCCAGACTCCACCAGCTGCACCTCACACTGCAAACCTGCAAACACAGAGAATCCTGGTCAGCAATGGTCACACATGAACTGTTCTTCTCACTCAGCATCTCTTGCTCCCATAAATTACCTTGTAAAATAGCCACAAGGAAAACCCATCTCAGCTTCAACTCCATGGAGACACGTCTGTTTCTGAGCTGACCATTGAATCGGATCACTGGAATCCAGGCTGGGCTTGTCCCCTAAAGCTGCGGGGTCTGAATTTCATCGGCTGGTGGACACCCCATTTGCATGTCTGTCTCCTATAAAGGCAGCTCTGGGCTGGAGGCCTCAGAGGGGAGGAGCTGATATAGGAGAGCTAGTTGGGAGTCTGACAATGATTGCATGAAGGAAAGCACAGTAACTCTACGTGATTATGTCTTGTTAACCACAATCCTATTAATCCTGTGCATGTGTGCAAACATGTACTATAAATATAAATTTTATATTTTATCTTTTTGGAAACAAGCACAGTACAAAAATAATGATAAATAGTTGTGACATGTCTACAGACTTCATATCTCATTGAAGTTATCCTCAGCACATACCTCTCTGATTCTCACTCCCCCTCCAGTCTGCTCACTAGAACATCTCAAGCACACAGGGCGTTGACTTTGTGAGGTTTTCAGAAGAAGCTCTTTTCTGCAGTGAGACTAGGTGTGAATTAGCGCCATTACTGTGTTTACTGAAAGAAAAGGGAGGGAACCCAGTGAAGGCACAAGTGTGACTGTGAGTCTCTTGTATCACATCTGTTTATATATAGACATGAGTATATAAATGTATGGTATTTTTTATATTTTGACATGTGTTCATTATCTGTTGCAAAACAGATCACAATATGGAATGTAATTAACTGCACATTTCTAAAGGTGCATCTGACCATGGTGAATACAGACACTTGTTCAACCATTGGCACACACAAGCAAACCCAGGGCTCATCCAGACATGTTTCCTTTGGTTCCTCTGCAATTTTCCATCCCTCATCCCTCCTCCTGACTTACCTCCAGTTAGCTCATGGCCTTCTTTAAATGCATTACATTGATTGTAACAATTGTAATCCAACTGTTGTGTTAATCAGTATTAAAAATTTTCAGCTCCAGGTTATTAAAAGTAAGGTGTTAGCTTATTATTCTAAAAACATGTTCTCGCTAGATATGGTTGTATCTTCATGACAGCAGTGTACAAGAGAGAGACAGAGACAGAGAGACAGAAAGGATATATTGTGTTCTGGTAATGAGGAAACTATTTTGTCACTGTCATCTTGGACAGAGAGTACAGGCAAGGGACCTGGTAGCTGGCCTTCATCCAGTCAGGCTCCCTTCTCCCCTCAGATTTGATTCCTTCTCTGGTGTCACCAGGCCTTCTCAAGTTGCCATCAGAAGAGAGAGCTGGCTGTGCTCAGACTCCGTGAAGGAGTGAGGAAGACTTTATTCCAGTCAGACTCAAGCTGCATTCCTGGAGATGAAGATAGAAGTTTGATTGTGGATGATGACATTGCTCATGTTGATGAAAACTGGATATTCTGAATACACCCAGTTTGTGAAAATGTTCAGTCTTTTTCTATTGTCTCCTATTCATGCACATTCTTCCTGTGCTGCTCATATGAATGGAAAAAGCTTACTGTGCTCAGAAGTTGGCGATTTACCCTACAGCCTGTGGGTTGTGGGTTCTCCTAGGTAATGAGCTAAAGCTGAGGAGACCACAGAGGAGACTGGAGCCTCTCACTCCCCAGCCTCCATCTCTGCACCTGCTATTTTTAACTGTGGGAGTTTGGTGGTTCCGCTGGCCCCCTGCTGACCCTGTCCCTTCAGGGAGGAAACGCTCTGCTCAGGCTTCACTTGAGTCCCCTCACTGTCTCTTCTGCACAGCACTCCATGCCAGGTCCTTGAGCTCACAGAGTCCCAATGCAGAGTTCTGGTTGTGACCATGGCTCTGGAGATGGAGGTGGAGCCCGTGCAGGATGGCTGCAGCTAGTGAGACCACCACAGACGGCATGCTAAACACGCCAAGCTCTTCCGGACAGTGAGGGTCTGGTGGTGCTGATGGAGGGTCCAGAGTCAGCGCAGGTGAGAGACAGGGTGTGCGAGAGCTTCACCAGCCAGCAGGGCCTCCTCCCGCAGCACCTGGACAGCACACCTGAGGACAGAGAGCCACCAACCCTAGCCAAATCGCAGACGCCCCAATCAGGGCCGATACCCCAGGAATCCTCCATGTGCTTACAGACTAGACCAGAAATAGTACAAACTATCTTGAAGGGTGTGGATAACATAAATGTAATATACATCGATCTGATTACCCAGCCAGATAGTTGTAGTTTCATTTATACATATATGTGAAGACCTGAGGGGAGGAGAGGGAGGAAGGGAGAGACACAGCACACTCATCCTTGCCCAGGGTCCCCTGAATTGTTGATTCAGCTTTGTTCTCAAGAGAGCTCAGTCTGGGCCTAGTCTCCAGTACATCAAGCCCAGCACCCATCCTCACAACACCGGATGGGATGTATGGTAGGGGAGCTGTTCAGGGACCTGGAGGTATTCACAGAGGAAAGACAGGAGGGAACATGGAAACCTCCTTCTCATCTCAGGGATTCAAAGGTATTTTACACATCGACATCCACACATGCAAATATTGCATACGCAATTACATCCACATATTCACACATGTGACATACCTATGTAAATGCCTTATGTGTATATACACACAGATAATTGCATATGGTGTATTTGTATGTGCATACACATTTACACACCCATCATATATACAAACTATAGGCTGGTGTGTGTGAATATGTAGGAATTATATACACACATAATTTAGACCAACACACTCACATGTACACTCCTACCTATGAGCTTTCAAGACCAGGTACGGACTAGTTCAAATGGAAAGATACTTTTCTAGTCTTTCATGTTTTAATGTCAAAGATCAAAACTCTAACTTGGTGCCTGATGCTTTTACTCAGTGTTTAAAGGTCTGTCAACAGAGCCAGGCCTCTTAACCTGGAGATTCTTTGCACAATGTAGCCCACATTTTATTTCTGACACACAATGTGAATCTACTCACACTGTGTGCATGTGAGTACATAACAGGGCTGGCAATGTTTCATTTGGACAGCACAGGTACTGATGTTTTCTTCAGCTCGAGGCCTCCGGCCTGCCATGCAGTTGCTCTAGCACTGGGCAGACTTCCAGACTTTCTTTGTACTAGTGCCATTTTGAGAAGGGTCTGGTTATTTTGGTCATATTCTCACCTGGAGCTCCATCTTCCTAAGTGAAGTTTCCATCATGGCTGGGATTATAGGCACATGTCAGCACACTGAGCGTCTTTCTCTGAGATGGAGTCTCATGAACTGCTTAGTCTGGCTGTGCTGCTCTGGTGATCTCCTCAATCTTAGTCTGCAGGAGTCCAGCTGACACACACACACCACACTCAGCTATTGGTTGAAAAGTGTTTCCTGAATGGTCTTGCTAGGGTAGATCTCCACCTTCAAGTACCCTGCACTGTGTCTCCAGACAGCTCTGCTTACCGGTCTGGACCACGGGTACCTGTCCTGAGCACTGTAGGCACAGCAGTCCCCTTCTTGTCTGTGTCCTGTCCGGTAATGTTCAGGGCATTTGCAAGAACCTCCGGGGCCTGTGAGACGCTGGCTTCCAGAGAACAGTGAGGCTGAACCTCTGGAGTCTGGAAATAGAGGCAACTGGAAAAAGGCCCTCAGGGCTGGGCTGGGGAGGGCCAGTGTGTGGTCTTCACACGTGTCTGTGTCCCAGTGATCTGCAGTGCTTTACACTACTGGGTTGTGAATTTGAGGACGTCTGCGTTATGTTTTCTCTTCTTGGTCTTATGTGTACATTCCCATCATCAGTGTTGGACAGCTGCATGCACAATTCACCTGAAACTTTTGTTTTCCTGGTTCCATCATGTTTGCCTGACCAGTCCCTGAGCTCTGGTCATTCAGGGAATTCTAGTTGTGAGTGTGCTGACACACTTCCATTAGTGAACAATTCTGTGTTCAGGATGAGCCAGAACTAACTTCTATCATGACAGATACAAGCCTGCAGGCTGCATTTTTTGTGCCTGTCCTGGGTTGGAGCCCAGGGCCTGCACCCAGCTCACGAACTGCTTCTGAAGGCTAACATTGTACCACTTGAGCCACAGCTTCACTACTGCTGTCTTGGATCATTAGATTTAGCAGCACAGACTTGCCCACACAGGCTGGCTTCCCACACGAGCTTCAGATGTCAGACCCTGGAATAGCTAGGGTCAGAGGATCCACTTTTCTTTTCAAAGCAGAGCCCAGGATCTGTTCATGAACATTTGGCAAGGAAGCTGAGACGTGAACTTAGAGAAGAAACAGGAAACCACCCGAGACCCGGAGGGGAAGAGGAAAGCCCAGCGGCTGCCAAGAAAGAGCAGGTCCTGCACCTTCTTGATGCCACAGTTCCTGGTGTGTTCCAGGAGAATGGTGCTCATCTGTGAGCTCTGCAGATCCTCCTGCCTGACCCGAGATCAGGTGTGGCTTTGCTGCACTTTACTTCATTCTGACCACAAACCAAGACAGCCAGGGTTCAGGCAGATTCCTGACAGTGGGCTCTGCTGTATCATTTGTTAGTCAATCTTTCCTATTGGTTTTTCTGCTTCATATGCATTGTGTATTTGTGACAATTCCACATGTATTGTATATTGTCATAATCTCAATGTCAGTACATGTAACAGATTTCTCATAGGTAAACATTGATTTGGTAACTGATAAATTATTTTCATGTTCTTCAAGTTGTTTTACCAACCTGTGTGTCCTGGCTCCCACTGGCTACTCTCACTGTGCCTTGCACAGTAATACAGGACCGAGTCCTCGGTTCTTAGGCTGCTCATTTGCAGGTACAGCGTGCTTTTACTGTTGTCTCTGGAGAGGGTGAACCGGCCCTTCACAGAGTCTGGGTACCGTGTGCTACCACCTCCTGGATCAATTCATGCAACCCACTCCAGCCTATTCCCTGGAGCCTGGCAGATCCAGTCCATGTAGTAACCACTGAAGGTGAATCCGGATGCTGCACAGGAGAGTCTCAGGGACCCCCCAGGCTGCACCAAGCCTCCCCCAGACTCCACCAGCTGCACCTCACACTGCACACCTGCAAACACAGAGAATCCTAGTCAGCAATGGCCACACATCCACAGTTCCTCCCACTCATGTCCATTTGCACACTCAGTATCCCTTGCTCCCCATAAATCACCTTTCAACAGAGCAACAAGGAGAACCCAGTGCAGCCCCAGCTCCATGGTGGTGGTCTGTGCTCAGTCACTGGTGGGATCAGCTCACAGAGCTCAGGTCAGGGATGGGCTGGTTTTCATGGGCAGAGGGACGTCCTATTGCATGTCCTCTGCTATAAAGCAGCTCTGGGGGCAAGTCTAGAGATTGGGCTCCCAGAGCAGAGGTGACTGTGCTGGAGGAGTTTAGTGACAATGGTCAACTTGGAGACATCATGACGCACTGACCATGCGCTGTGGTTCACACTGTACCTGCAGCTCCTTGGGAGCCTGAGGCAGAGTGTGAGAACATTGAGAGCTGTCTGGGGTGCAGAGGGACACACAGGTCCTCTCACTCTGCCATTGTGCCTGGTGATCGTTCTGTCAGCATTTCTGATCACACACAAAACACAAAGTGCAACACGTGTGTGACCTCCATGTGCACACGCAAGAGTGTAAAACAATGGTGAATTGTTTCCACACTGGCAGCATCTCCTGTGGTATGAGCTGCATGCCTGGTCTGGGTCTGCACAGCCAAGGAGGGCCCACAGTTCCTGGTGTGTTCCAGGAGAATGGTGCTCATATGTGAGCTCACAGAGCCTCCTTCCTGAGATGAGGTCAGGTGTGTTTTTGCCACACTTTACTTCATTCTGACCACAAACCAAGATGGCCAGGGTTCAGGCATACGCTTGGGAGTGAGTGGGCTCTGGTGTTTCACTTGTCACAGTCTGGCTTTATTGTTTGTTTATCCTGTTTATATGCATTTATTTGTAACAATATCATCTGTGTTGTCCATCTCAATAATAATAATAATCTCAATAAGTCACAATCAATAACAATATGCTCATAGGTAAATGGGTATTTGGTAATTATGGAAAATGTCTTGTGTCTTCTTCAAATTGTTTTATTAACCCTTTCACAGTGTTCTTGAATCAGTCTTTCAATTCATTGGTTACAGTGATTCCTAGTGCTGGACAAGATGGTGAGCTAAATGTGAACAACACTTTTGTCCATGAACAAGAATCCACTGACACAAAGTTGAGCAGATTCTGAGGAAGAGAGGAAAGGAGCAGCGACAGGGAGTTCCTGGGGACCCAGGACATGGCAGAGAAGTAGTCAGGGTGGAGAAACTGTGGCACTGAGCTCTGACCTGTGTGCAGCTCTCCTGCTGGGGAAGAGAGCTGAAGCATCAGCAGGTGACATCAGGTGTGCTCACAGAGGGACTGGCAGCTCTGCCATGGGACACACGGCTGGGGACCTCGCTGCCACCCCAGGGACTTGAAGGTGGAGACAGATCTGCTGTGAGAAGCTCCCAGTGTAAAGAGAGGCTGAGGTCGGCAGTGCTGTGAGCCAGGCATCTGTGGTGGCTGCAGAGGGCAGGATGAAGGCTCCTCGGCCTCTGTGGATGGTCCCCATGACAGGAGATGGCTGCACTGGGCTCACTTCCTCATTTAAGCCTGGAGTCTTGGGATATCACACTGTCTTTTGTTTCACTTACATTTATTGGTCTTGTAGGTAAACACATTTCAGTCCCTAGCTGAGGATGTCCTTGTTTGAGGGATATTTAGTGCAATTGAGTCTGCATTGTCAACCATGTTGGAACACCCCCTGAGAGACAGTGGGGCCTCCATTAGACCCCTGGAAACCCCTGGGTGGGAGGGCTTTCCTCTCTGCCCTTGCCTCTGCCCCCTGCTGGGGACTGAGAGCTCAGGTGGTGCTCCATCCCCCTCCATCCTGAGGGTGTAGACAGAGTGGAAATGACCATCAGCAGCTGCCGTGGGCTGTGAAGCAGGAGTGTACACAGAGTGGACAGCACGGGAGGCTGAGGGGAAGAGGAAGGGAGGCCGCTCACCTGAGACAGGTGTGGGCATCAGGGAAGAAGGACACAGAAAGTGGCAGTGCTCTGCAGGAAGCTGATGGCTGATCCCATCTCACCCACACACAGGAAGTCCTTCCCTCCCACAGTGCGCCAGTGAGCACGTGAGGAAGAGGAAACAAAAGGAAGGCAGGCATGTCCAGAGGGACTGTGGGGTGCTGGGGAGGTGTCCAGAGGGACCCTGGGAATGGGAGGAGGCATCACAGAACCTGACACCGAGCTCCCACCCAGCTTCTGGGGTGAGATCCAGGGCTGCTGGCCCTGAGCATCTCCGCAGCTCAGGCTCAGGGTCTGGTGATCAGTCTGTGTCAGGGCTCATGCTGATGTCCCTCCCGGTGTCTCTTGCACAGTAATCCGTGGCTAGGTCCCAGTGGTCACCGTGCTCAGCTCATGGACATCTGGTTCTTGGCTGTGTCCTCAGACACTGTGACTTGACTCCTGAGAGACAGCTGTAGTTGAAGATGTCTCCTGTCCTTCCCAGTAGCTTCCCTGGGGCTGTGGGACCCAGCTCCATCAGTAATGACAGCCAGTGCCACCTACATGGTGCAGGCAAGGGACAGAGACCTCGTGCGGGCTTGGCTAGGCCAGCCCGTGACTCCTGTAGCTGCTGGGACAGGACATCTGAAGACAGAGCACCTCAGTGCCGGGCATGGGGAGAGACGGTGTGTTCTGAGTTCGGATGCAGCGTCCTCACAACATCCTGACTGCATCCCAATGTCCTACACCCAGGAACGGCCAGCAAGGAAACAAAGGTCCGCCCAGCATTTCAGGCATCAGGAAGATGTCTGTGACTCACAGGAAGTATTTCCAGGGTCTGGCAGAGGTTGAGTGTAAACAAGTGAGTATGAACCCAGTGTCGCTGGCTCATGCCTGTAAACCCAGGTACTCAGGAGGCTAAGATCTGAGAATGATGGTTCAAAGCCAGCCCGGGGAAGGAAAGTCCCTGAAACTGTCAGGGACTTTATTGGAGAATAAACCACAAGAAAACCAGAAGTGGTGATGTGACTTAAGTGGTAGAGCGCTTGCCTTGAGCTGAAGAGTGAGGGACAGCACCCAGGCCCAGAGTTCCAGACCAAGGTCCTACCAAAAAAAAAAAAAAAAGTGAGCAGCGAGTGTCTGCTCTTCCTCTAGGAAGACGAAGGACAGCATGGGGAAGGCCAGATGGACTCTGCTCAGGATCTCTGCAGATGGAGAGAAACCAGTGGAAATGGAGAGCAATGTCCTCACTCAGCCTGGGAGCCCTAAACACCCTAGACAGCTCTGTGGGTGACGCAGCTTCCTGTGGAGAGGCCAGGCACACAGAGGAGTCAGGGCCTGAGCTCCACAGCTGCTCCTGTGACTGCCATGACCTCAGTGAGTGCCCAGCGCCCCCTGCTGGTGCTGAGTGCCCTGCAGGGAGGTTTGTGTCTGGCCCACACTGGATTTCCTGCACTGTGTCTCTAGCACAGTAATAGACAGCCGTGTCCTCCACTCTCAAGCTGTTCATCTGCAGGTAAAGTGTGCTCTTGCTGTTGTCTCTGGAGGTGGTGAAGTGGCCGTTCACAGAGTCTGCGTAGTATGTGCTACTACTACCACAGATGTATGAGAGCCAATCCAGTCCCTTCCCTGGAGCCTGCCAGACCCAGTTCATGCCAAAGCTACTGAAGGTGAATCCAGAGGCTGCACAGGAGAGTCTCAGGGACCCCCCCAGGCTGCACCAAGCCTCCCCCCAGAGTCTACCAGCTGCACTTCACACTGCACACCTGCAAGCACAGAGAATCCTGGTCAGCAATGGTCACACACATCCACAGTTCCTCCCACTCATGTCCATTTGCACACTCAGTATCCCTTACTCCCCATAAATCACCTTTCACCAGAGCAACAAGGAGAACCCAGCACAGCCCCAGCTCCATGGTGGTGGTCTGTGCTCAGTCACTGGTGGAATCAGCTCACAGAGCTCAGGTCAGGGATGGGCTGGTTTTCATGGGCAGAGGGACGTCCTATTTGCATATCCTCTGCTATAATACAGCTCTGGGGGGAAGTCCAGAGATTGGGCTCCCAGTGCAGAAGTGACTGTGCTGGAGGAGTTTGGTGACAATGGTCACCTTGGAGATATCATGACACACTGACTACGTGCTGTGGTTCACACTGTACCTGTAGGTCCTTGGGAGCCTGAGGGTGTGAGAACACTGAGAGCTGTCTGGGGTGCAGAGGGACACACATGTCCTCTCACTCTGCCATTGTGCCTGGTGATCGTTCTGTCAGCATTTCTGATCACACACAAAACACAAAGTGCAACACGCCTGTGACCTCCTTGTGCACACGCAAGAGTGTATAACAATGGTGAATTTGTTTCCACACTCGCAGCATCTCCCGTGGTATGAGCTCCATGCCTGGTCTGGGCCTGCACAGCCTAGGAGGGCCCACAGTCTCTGGTGTGTTCCAGGAGAATGGTGCTCATCTGTGAGCTCACAAAGCCTCCTTCCTGATCCGAGATCAGGTGTGGCCTTGCCGCATTTTACTTCATTCTGACCACCAGCCAGGATGGCCACAATTAAGGCAGAGGCTTGATAGTGGGCTCTGGTGTTTCATTTGTTAAAATCTATTTTTCTCATTCATATGTATTGTGTATGTGCGACTAAATCATGTGTATTGTGAACTTGTAATAACCTCAGTGAGTCATACTCATAACAAAACATAGGTAAATGAGTATTTGGTAACTATCAACAAGTGACTAGTGTCTTCTTAAAATTGTTTTATCAACCCTTTGATAGTTTCCTTGCATCAGTCTTTCAATTCATTGGTTCCAGTGATTCCTAGTGCTGGACAAGATGGTGAGCTGCATGTGAACATTTTTGTCCATGAACAAGAATCCACTGACACAAAGGTGAGCAGATTCTGAGGAAGAGAGGAAAGGAGAAGCGACAGGGAGTTCCTGGGGACACAGGACATGACAGAGAAGCAGTCAGGGTGGAGAAACTGTGGCACTGAGCTCGGACCTGTGTGCAGGTCTCCTGCTGGGGAAGAGCAGCTGAGCAGTCAGCACGTACCATCAGGTGTGCTCACAGAGTGACTGCCAGCTCTGCCGTGGGACACACGGGCTGAGGACCTGTTAACTAGCAAAAACCCTGAAATGAAGGAAATGAAAAAAAAATCATCAACCCTGGTGTTGGGGGCATGGCTCAGTTGTTAGGCGGTTAGTCAATGAGAGAAAGCATCAGGTTCTGATTTTGAGTCCTAGTCGTGAATGCAAAAGGGAAAAGAAAATTAAGGCCTGACTCAAATTGTAGAGAACCAGCCTTGAGTGAGAAAGCAGAGGGAGAGTGCAAGGTCCCTGTTTGTGCAAAAGTGCACAATAAAAATGCGTATAACACATGAGAGATACCAAGTGTTGGGGGCCAAGCTGGGTCATGTGAAGCAGGCAGGCTGATAGTGAGAATGTAAATAAGAACGTGACTGGAAGTTATACCACAGTCCATGAGCACACAAACACTAGAAATGCCATGGATTCCAAACTCCAGTAATGTCCAGTGGCATATTTGTTTTTTATCTTCGGTTGCTGTCGCATTGTTTACATCAGCAAGCCAGGAGAGAACGAATGGAGAAAGGAAATGTGGTATCTTTGCAAAACAGGAGTTTATTCATCCATGAGAAGGAGGAAGTCCTGGCATTTGTGACAACATAGATGACTCTAGGGAGTTCACGTGAAGTGTGGTAATGCAGGCTCAGAAAGACAAAGGAGGGCTTGTGACACCTGTGTGGTCTGTATTTGTGAAAACATGTAAGTCAGCAGACCGCAAGCTTCCTCACTGTCAAAGAATGGAACCTGTGCGCGGTGTACGATCCTTAGCTCTTCGTTGACAATGGTTCCACAGCATTTGTGTACATTATCACATTGCACTCTAAGTGTGAATGTGCATCGTTTTAATTGTCCATGTTACGTCAACGAAATAGAAATAATTACAAAACTTTCTGACCTTGAGAACTTTTACCAAATGTCACCATCACAGCAGGAGCAGTGGCACCATCACTGTCCCTCCCTCCTTCCCAGAACCCGATGCTCTCGGGGGCTCGGTCATCTGGAGCATGTGGGCTGAGCCCTCTCCTGAGCAGGGCCTAGACACCAGCAGCCCCTCCACAAGGTGAGCCTTAATTTTTTCGATGCTCTTCCTGATCTGTTATTTGAACTGACACTAAACAGAGTAGGCAGCCTATCAGGTTTAGTGCATGTATCTGTTGTATACTGTTTAGATCCTGTTAAACAGTTATATCCTCAAGCACTTATCAATTCTTAATGGTGTTTTGTCTGGGTTCTGGAATGTTCAGTCCAGAGTGGTCATTTATGTCCACACATGTTGCAATATGCAGTGCCTGGGGACTGGACAGTAATGGACACAGGTCTGGAATCAGCTTTGGGGTGCCTGGGGACTCTGAAGCCTTCCACCAGCTTCAGGTGCCCTGGGGCCATTTTACAAGGTATTTATTGAGTAGGGTGCAGGGCGTACCTCAGAGAGTGAATCACTAGCACCAACCACGTGGTATAATCCCATGTCAGTGATAATGACCTCTTTATCTTAAGAGGACAATGTAAGCAGTAATTGACTCTTCTCTAGCCCAAGCTTCCAGAAAGCCTGGTGTGAAATTAGCTTACACCAGCATAGAAATCTGCATTCCTATCAAGTCAAGACTGAGTGACCTTTTCAGGATAGTCTCAGTACTCTGAGGGTTCATGTGGGAGGTGGCAATGCATCCTCCCTATCCTTTTGGATCTCATAGCTTGAGTTTTGGGAGCTCTCACGACATAGCAATGGCATTATATGCCCTTAATATTGAAATTCCACTTCTGTGTGCAATCCTTCAGTAGCAGATAAACATTGGAAAGACCCACATAATGCAATCTTCACATCAGCCGTTATGGTAGAAGGATGACACTGATAATGCCTGGAAGCCTGGAACTGTCAAAGTACGGGGCGGTGGGTTTGCTGGTGTGTCCAAAGGCTCAGTGGATGTCTGCCTACCAGTCCAGAAATTAAAGCCCAGAAATAAACAGACAATCACCCAATGTCCAGGAGGCTGTGGAGGGATCTTCAGGAGGATGAGGAAATCTATAGGCTCAGGGAGAACAGGGAGAACCAGCTTGACACCGATCCACCCTGGGGCAAATAAGGAAATTTTCTCAAGAAGCTGGAGGAGCTTATAGGAGAATGGAGAGGAAATCAACAGGAAGAATCTGTACCAATGGTGATGGTATTCAGACTGCTAGTGTCTGTGTGGGGACTCCTATGCTGGGTAAACTGTTGTATGGAAATGTGGTGTGGTATGTAACAACTCAGTGTTGAGCTAGAGGAAGGCTCTGCCATCCTGGAGGCCAAAATCTGAGTTCCACAGTTGGTGTCTTTACTGGGTGTCTGCAGTCACCATGGCTGTGGCACACATAGGCACCAGGATTCCAGGTCAGCACAGCACTGCACCCCTCCTGCTCCACACACACTCAGCAGGTACCTGGAGGGTGCTGTCTCCTGGTGAGGAGAAGGGTTTGTGTACTGTCCAAATGATTCCACAGGATGAAACCTTCACAGGTGGAAGACGCCTTTCCTAAGCCATGGAGTCCAGACAAAAAACCTTCCTCAAGAAATGAGCCTTATTCCTTCGTGTAATGGTGTGGTGAGGGAACAGGGCGTGATTTGTCTTTGTCTCAGAGATGGGAGTATGAGAGGAGAGTGAGGAACTGCACCACAGTGGCCAGGATGTGGGGCAGATGCCTCAGGAGGCTGCTCTTCTCAGCACAAGGTTCAGGGTGAGCAGCAGTGCTGGGACAGTGCACAAAACCAGGACTCATGGACACCTGTCCTCGGTCCTGGATAGTGCACAATGCCAGGACTCACAGACATCTGCCCTCAGTCCTGGACAGTGCACTACACCAGGACTCACAGACACCTGCCCTTGGTACTGGACAGTGCACTACGCCAGGACTCACGGACACCTGCCCTCAGGACTCACAGACACCTGCCCTCGGTCCTAGACACCGCACAATTCCAGGACTAACAGACACCTGTCCTCGGTCCTGGACAGCGCACAATTCCAGGACTAACGGACACCTGCCCTTGGTCCTGGACCTCACAGCACAAACAGGCAGCCCATGTGTCCATTTCCCCAGAGCTGCAGACGGTGGAGGTGAAATCATGTATTCAGAGTGGACAAGGGTGAGCTCTGCATCCACATCCCATGACTCCTGGTCAGCCTCCCTCCAGACCTGATGTCCACCTCCATTCCCACAGAAGGCCTGCTGAGACGCAGCAGGAGAGGGCTGATGCACACAGGCTGAGACATGGCACTAGCACGTTTTCCAGGTCTGCAGAAGCCCCAGCCTGAGCAAAACCTGACCCCAGGTCCCTACTTGACCTGGGGTTCAGTCCACACACTTACAACGGCCATTTCTGGCTGAACAGAGAAAAGAAGACACATGGAACAGAGTCTTTGAGCAGGAAAATGAGTACACTGACACTACCCCATTGTCCAGTCATGAGCTGGATGTGCACAGGCGGGAAGGGGAGAAAGGGAAGGTTTGCTAGCTCCAGGGGTGGCGGTCTGGCTTCTCCTCACAGGATTTGGAAGTACTAGGTTAGAACTCAGGCCTGTGCTCGTTGGGCCATCGTGCCGTGACTGGGCCATGCCTCTCATTTTGCTGAAAGCTGTCATTCGGGCAGAGCCTTGGTGTTGACTGAGGCTGGGCTTGGAGCTCAAACACTGTGTCCATAGCTCTGATGTAGCTGGGGGCCCAGAGGGCTTGAGACGTCACGTCTAGCTCCTTGACTGAGATTCAGCCTGGCTAGTATTTTCACTGGCTGGATTCAAACTATAATCCTCCCATCCCCACTTCCCACACAGCCTGGATTGCAGGGAGTACCCTGTGCATAGCCATGTCCCTCAGGTTTTCAACGGGAATTTCAGGGCCTCCTCAGCAGGGAATCCCAGAGTGTCTCCCCAGGTCTCATGGGAAAATGATCGTCAGGTCCCCTGGCCTTCCTCAGGTCCTGGGGACCACGGCTGGGTTGTTGACGTTTCCAGGGCGATGCCCTGGTCTCATTGATGTGGGAATATGCTTTATCGTTTAAAAATCATAACAACATGATCACATTGTGAACTCAGAGACACCACGGAGTGGCAGCCTCCCAGATCCAGAGGGGATCCCTGGCAGTTGGCTGGACAGAGGGCAGCCAGATGGTGACAACAGCCCTTGGCTGCACGTTGTGTTCTGGATGGGCTCTGGGCTTGGGCGTGCTGGGCGTCCCTGTGGGTCCCGTGCGTCCCTGCGGCAGGCTTGTGTCAGGGCTCACACCTGGTCTCCTCAGTGTGTCCTACACAGTAGTGCAAGGCTGTGTCCTCCATGGTCACAGAGTTCAGCTGCAGGGAGCACTGGTCCTTGGAGGTGTGCACTGGCATGGTGACTCTGCTCTGGAGGCACGGGCTGTATGCGGTGCTCCCACGTTTATAGATGTGTCCATTCCACTTCAGCATTTTCCCTGAGGCCTGTTGGGTCCAGCTCCGCAGTCACCATGCTGACAGAGTCACCAGAGACCGCACAGGAGAGGGACGGCTTCTGCACGGGCCTCAGCAGGCCATGGCCTGATTCCTGCAGCTGCATCTGGGACAGCACAGCTGTGGACAAAGGAGCAGCTGCATCTTGGCCCAGACGCCGCATCCCACGCTCCTGCCCAGTCCCAAGTCACCACCATTGTGAACTGCCAGCAGGAGCACAAAGACCAGACCTGCTTCACGTTCACGAGGTCACGGCTGTCACGCGCAGACAGCATTTCCAGAGTGCAGAAGAGGCTGAATTTAAGCGAGGGTGCAACTTCTCCTGGTGTGTATGTGGGAATTTGCATGTGGGGGCATCCTGCTTGTGGCTGCATACGAGGGGCAGCATCCCTGTCACCTGTCCCCTGAGAGGAGGTGACCGCGGGTCTCTAGTCACCTGAGTCCTGTGACTGCAGCCTCATCTCCCTGGTCCTTGCAATTACCAAGAGGCATTCATGCTGAAAGACCTGATTTTTCATCTAGATATGTAATATGTGAATGCAAACAGTGTCTTTCTTTATCACACAAAAAATACACACCTACACATACCTGTACACACACCTCACAGGTACATACATGCCCACAATACACAATCACACATATATACACAAACACACATATATGTACATACACAGAACCTTGGAACCTTGATCAGGAAGTAGATCCAATGAGTGTCAGTGGAGGGAAAGAGAAAGAACAAGCATGCAGAAGCAGGATAATCCTTGTGGACCAAGTGTTCTGGGATTGCAGGGCTTGTCCTGGTCTTCAGAAGTATACTGAACTGGGAGAGAGATTGGTAGAAGTGACCACTCATGAGAAGAGACTGCAGGATTGCACGAGAACACACGGTGGTTACTCTGGTAGTAAAGTTCGCCAGAATACATTCTAAGAATGATGGCATTCTAACTGTTGGACATCAGTCTTATTTTTCCTAAGAAGGAATTCCACGTGGTCCCACACAACCCAGTCACTGTGGAGAATTGGGAGTTCACGTGACAGGAAATCATGGAGGTTCTCAAGTGCAGCAAGTTTCCATGACCATCATTTTCATCCTTTTTCCTAACCCAGCAGAGCACAGCATCATGACAGGACTGTGAGATGGCAGTACATGGCTGTTGGTCCATTCATGACCTGGGTAAGTCACAGGAGTGTGTGTGGTCTTGGTACACCCATGTAACTCCATTTACTGCAATTCATTTATGACCCCAGATAAGGTCACCGGGACTGTAGGAGGACATGGTACATCCATGTAGGTCCATGTACTCTACTCCATGTATGACCCCACAGCAGGCTCTAGGTTCTGGGGAAGTCTGTGCATGGGTAGGCCTGGGAACCTGCGTAATTCTCTGATGTAGCCTCTGCATTTTGTCATGAACACCACCTGGTCTGTACATTCTGCTAAATAAAAATGGCACCGATTTTGTGGGTATTTCACAAGAATTAGACTTAATGTGTGATCAATGTTCCATATTGTAGCAGTATAGGTTCTCTACAAGCAGAAATATTACAATGAGGATGAACCTGAAGTTAAACAAATATGGCTTGTGAATTATTTTGGTTCTGCAATTGCATAGAGATTGTTCCTTTTATGTGAATGTAAGGAAGAAAAGTGGTCCTGTGTGACATGAATGTATAAGGGAAGAAAACAGGTCCATTGTGAAGTGAATGTGTAAGAGGAAGGGAAGAGATCTGATGTGAAATGAATGTGTAAGAGGAAGGTAAGACGTCCCATGTGAAGTGAATGTGTAAGGGAAGAGAAGACGTCCCTTGTGAAGTGAACATGTAAGAGGAGGGGAAGAGGTCCTGGGTGAATATTCCCTGTGGAGTAGGTGTTTGATGAGCCCGTAGTCCCTTGTCTGGTTTACCAGTTCACCAGACACAAATAAGAGGAAACAGACTTTCAGGTTCTAGACGTATTCCCAGGTGATGGACAGTGCAGGAAATATGAAAACTCCTCCCCTCATATTTCAGTGAAAAGAGGGTCGATAAATCTCTGTGTTTGTGAACATAGATATGCATTGCAAATTTGCATATGAACATGTACATACAGACAGAAACTACATGAAAGCAAATTAGATTTGTATATGTATATAAATGTGTGAAGTTATACATAGAGTACACATTAGAGCAACATATACACACATATATATAACACACATGGAATAAACTTGTTCTACACACAAATACATGTGTGCATATCTACACAGCGTTATATACCTATGTATGTCTAGAACAAAAAATTATCATCTTGATGCAGAAAGCTTTTGAGAAACTCCAGCATCCTTTTATGCTAAAAACTCTGTAGACAGGGGATCAGTTGACTGGAAAACGTGTTCACATGACTATTAGCTGGGAGTGTTTGCCCTGGCTTTATTCACGAGGAACCCCTTGCTGTCTGTGTTTTCTGAGAATGGTGATGGTGGAACCTTTCCCACATTCAGCATGGGCTCAGGTTTGCAGCCTTCTCCTCACAGCCCGAGACAGCTGCGTTGCCTCAGGTTTCTGACACACTCAGGATGTGGGTGTGCACACTGTGCCTCGTACAGTAGTACATGGCCGAGTCCTCAGCTGTCAGCCTGCTCAGCTCCATGGAGGCTGTGCGGGAGGAGGTGTCTGCAATCAGGGAGACCTTGCCCTGGAACTTCTGAGCATATTTGGTCTCACCATCACTAGGATCGATCCTTCCAATCCATTCAAGCCCCTGTCCTGCCTTCTGCCTCACCCAGTGCATATAATAGCTGGTGAAGGTATATCCAGAGGCCTTACAAGCTAGCCTGACCGAGTCTCCAGGTCTCCTCACTTCAGCCCCAGGCTGCCTCAACTGGACCTGGGAGTGAACACCTGCAGAGGAGAGGGAGGTGTGAACTCTCTGGTGAGGGTCTGGTCCCTTGGGGCTTGTCCTGGGCAGCACTCACCTGTAGCTGTGGCCACCCAGAAGAGGAAGCTCCAGTTCAGGTGCATAGTGGGCTCTGAGCTCTGGGTGTCACAGAAGAGGCGACAGCAGGCTGCTCTGGGAAGGAGCCTGTGTATATTGTCCACCGCAGATCCTGCTTGTTTGCATATTCATGAAGCAGGTGCTTGTTAGCTCAAGACGTGACCTGGGTTTAGAGGGAGAGGGAGGGAGGCGGCCCTCTGATATGTGGGGCTGTGTGTGACCTCACTGAACTCGGAACCCTGGGAACCATGGTGGATGGACTCAGGTCTGCACAGCCTCCCTCAGGTATCTGTGCTGTCAATATGGTCACATCTCATTCTCATTTGCACAAACAGAATTCTGTGCAGTGCTCACAGACGGTCAGTGTTGATCACAGGTCCTTGAGTTCCTGTTGTTCCTGGTTGACCAGCTCAGTAAGCTGACCCCTCTCTGAGGAGTCCCGTGGGTACCATGCAGGATTGGGCGTCCCTGGTCCTTGTGTTTGTTGGGGCTCCGTCCAGGCTGCTCATGGAGGGCTCTACTTGGGGAAGGAGGCTGGGCCTCACCTGTGCAGGGGCTCCATTGCAGGACTGCCTCATGTTCAGTTCCAGACTCCACCACAGAACAAGTTCAGGATATCAGCTCTTGGCCAGGACACAGGTCAGCACCCTGTCCAGGACCCCATGAGCAAGGCTGAGAGTGTCCTGTCCATTGGGGTATCCAGTGTCTGAAGATAGCTGGGCATGGCCGCAAGGCCAACAACCTTCACTCAGAGTAGAGTCTTTGCTGTACAGCCCCCAGAACCCCTCAGGAGGGAGAATGAATTCACCTGTGAAGGACCACAGAGGGGTATGGAGACCGCCTCTTCCAGCCGGTGATGGAAGTGTGTGTGTGTGTGCACACTGTGAATATATATGTGTGTGTTCACTGTGAATATATGTGTGTACACTGTGAATATATGTGTGTACACTGTGAATATATGTGTCCACACTGTGAATATATACATATGTGTACACTGTGAATATATACATGTGTGTACACTGTGAATATATACATGTGTGTACACGGTGAAAATATATATGTGTACACTGTGAGTATATATATGTATGTGTATACTGTGAATATGTGTGTGTACACTGTGAATATATATGTGTGTGTACAATGTGAATATATTATGTGTACACTGTGAATATATATACGTGTGTACACTGAGTATATATATATATGTGTGTGTGTACACTGTGAATATATGTGTGTGTACACTGTGAATATATATGTGTGTGTACACTGTGAATATATGTGTGTGTACACTGTGAATATGTGTGTGCACTGTAACTATATATGTGTGTACACTGTGAATATATGTGTGTACACTGTGAATATATATATATGTGCACTGTGAATATATATGTGTGTGTACACTGTGAATATGTGTGTGCACTGTGAAAAAATATATATTGTGTTTACACTGTGAATATATATGTGTGTGTACACTGTGAATATATGTGTGTGTACACTGTGAATATATATGTGTGTGTACACTGTGAATATATATGTGTCTACACTGTGAATATATCTGTGTACACCGTGAATATATGTGTGCACACTGTGAATATATGTGTGTGTGTACACTGTGAATATGTGTGCGCACTGTGAATATATATATGTGTACACTGTGAATATATCTGTGTACACTGTGAATATATGTGTGTGTGCCCTGTGAATATATGTGTGCGCACTGTGAATATATATATTTGTGTGTACACTGTGAATATATATGTGTGTGTGCACTGTGAATATATATATATGTACACTGTGAATATATATATGTGTGCACACTGTGAATATATATGTACACTGTGAATGTATATATGTGTGTGCGCACTGTGAATATATATATGTGTGCACTGTGAATATATATGTGCACTGTGAATATATATATGTGTGTGCGCACTGTGAATATATGTATCTATGCTTCCTTCCCCTTCTATCCCGGTGGTACTCGTGTAACCTGAATCGGAATTATCTGGATCCCACATGACACGGAGCCCGTGTGCATGTCTAGGCCTTGTGTATAAATACAGCGGACGGACACACGCACGTGGAGGTGCACGGTGCGCAGCCCTCTGGAACGCGCGCTCTCGTCTGTGTGAGTGCGCACACCGCTGTGACACCTCCCCGTGTCGCCACACGGACGGAAGCCTGTTCTCACCGGCCGGGGCCTTCAGGCCCTGGCGCCTCCGCGGCGGCCCGGCCCTCCCCGTCCCGCTCCGCTGGGCTGGACCGGGCCTTCTGGCTGCAGGGCAGGCTGCTGCCCTGGGCCGTCCGCCGCCTGCGCTCCGCCCTGGCCCTGGGCCGCGGAGCCTTGTGGCGGCTGGCCGCGCCCGGCCCCAGACCGCTGATGTGGTCGCAGAGGCCGACACGGGCCCGCAGCGCCGGCAGGGCCCGCAGCGCGGAGGCCAAGCCTGGGCCAGGCGTCTCCCCGCGGCGCGGCCTCCTGTGCGGACGCCGCCGTCCCTCCATGACGCCCCACGCCCGAGAACGCGGACCGGACTCACCGCGCAGTGCGCCTGCGCCGACTCCTGTGCACACGCAGCCCGCACATCCACGGCCCCGTCACGCAGAGCAGCCCTCACTCCGTGAGCCCCGCGCAGCTCCCGCCTTCTCTGTGCCGGCCTCCGCGGAGAAGGAAGGCAGCGGCTCTCCTGCCGGCTGGCATGGGATCCGCGTCCCGCACCTCGTCGCCTCTCGACCGCCAGGAACTCCTCAGCGCGAACTCCTCCGCTGGCCTGGTTCATCGTCTGTGTGAGTGCGCACACCGCTGTGACACCTCCCCGTGTCGCCACACGGACGGAAGCCTGTTCTCACCGGCCGGGGCCTTCAGGCCCTGGCGCCTCCGCGGCGGAGGCTAACCGCAGCCAGGGGATGGGCTCTGGCTCGGGGTCCTTGGTGAGCTGGTCGGCTGCAAGCTGCACTCGGTCAAGAGGCAGCACGACCAGATGGGATCAGGTTTCAGAGGCAGGCAGGGCTCTGCGCAGACGGCCTAATGTCCTCGACCAAGACGGACAGAGCAGACGCCGGCCTCCGTTGCATCTGCGCAGAGCCACCGTCCTGGTGAAGACCTGGCACGGGTCAGTGTGCGCACGCGCAGGAGTCCTGCGTGGGACCCGTACGGACAGCTGGCTGCGTGCGCAGGCGCACACCCGCCCCACACCACGTGACGGGGTCCGAGCGGCCTGGCCCGGCCCGAGCCGCAGCGCCGCGCGACACCTGGAGACGCGGCCTAGGGAGGCGGACAGACGCCCGCCGCGGGCTCGGAGCGGCGCCCGCACGGCCTTCGTCCGCACCCCGCAACCCGAGGTGCGGCTCCGCACGGACAGACGGATGGACAGCGCGCTGGCCGCCATCGCCCGTCCGCCGTCCTCCCGTCCTTCCCCTGCACGGCCGCGTCCTGTGACCGAGCAGGAGGACGCGGCGGCCGTGCTCGCCGCCCGGGGCCGCCACCGCCTCCAGACGACGAGCCACAGGGACCGCGGGAAGACGCGCCCCGGCGAGGGGAGCCCAAGGCGCACGCGCAGCCCAGTGCGGCTGCGCACTCGTGAAGGAGGGAGCGCGGGTGATGACGTCAGCCGGGACCTGCTGCGCGCGCACCGGGCCCACCCGGGTCTGTGAGCCTGCCCGGGCGGGAGGACGGAGGCCGGTCCTGTCAGCGCGGGCTCCGGAGTCTGCGGTCACCGCTCCCACAGCCGGGCCCAGTCTGTGCTCAGCAGGAAGCCCGGAGTCTCTGTGCTGACCCTGCGGGAGAGCACGCCCCCGAGCCCTGAGCGCTCCAGACCCGCCTGGCCTGTGCGGAGCCAGCTCTGCCTGAGCCGGAGCCTGGGCCTCGCTGCGCTGTCAGGCCCTGCCTGCGTTCAGATGGAAGCAGCCCAGCCTCTGCGTCCGAGCAGCAGCGCAGGGGAGACACCAGCTGGGGTCCTGGAGCCCTGGGAGGGTGGAGGCCAGACCCCAGGGCCACCTCCTCACCACACCTGCAGCTGACGCGGCTCAGCGCCTGCTGGCCCAGGCCGCTGCACCTGTGTGTCTGGGCCCCACTGGCTCCTCTCACTGTGCCCTGCACAGTGACACAGGGCCGTGTCCTCGGTTCTCAGGCTGCGCATTTGCAGGTCCAGCGTGCTTTGACTGTTGTCTCTGGGGAGGGTGAACCGGCCTTCACAGAGTCTGCGTACCATGTGCTACCACCAACTGGATCAATTCGTGCAACCCACTCCAGCCCCTTCCCTGGAGCCTGGCGGACCCAGTCCATGTAGTAACCACTGATGGTGAATCCAGAGGCTGCACAGGAGAGTCTCAGGGACCCCCCAGGCTGCATCAAGCCTCCCCCAGACTCCACCAGCCGCACCTCACACTGCACACCTGCAAACACAGAGAATCCTGGTCATCAATGGTCACACACATCCACGGTTCCTCCCACTCATGTGCATTTGCACACTCAGTATCCCTTGCTCCCCATACATCACCTTTCAACAGAGCAACAAGGAGAACCCAGCGCAGCCCCAGCTCCATGGTGCTGGTCTGTGCTCAGTCACTGGTGGAATCGGCTCACAGAGCTCAGGTCAGGGATGGGCTGGTTTTCATGGGCAGAGGGACATCCTATTTGCATGTCCTCTGCTATAAAGCAGCTCTGGGGGGAAGTCTAGAGATTGGGCTCCCAGAGCAGAGGTGACTGTGCTGGAGGAGTTTGGTGACAATGGTTACCTTGGAGATATCATGATGCACTGACCATGTGCTGTGGGTCACACTGTACCTGCAGCTCCTTGGGAGCCTGAGGCAGAGTGTGAGAACACTGAGAGCTGTCTGGGGTGCAGAGGGACACACATGTCCTCTCACTCTGCCATTGTGCCTGGTGATCGTTCTGTCAGCATTTCTGATCACACACAAAACACAAAGTGCAACATGCCTGTGACCTCCTTGTGCACACGCAAGAGTGTAAAACAATGGTGAATTGTTTCCACACTGGCAGCGTCTCCCGTGATAGGGGCTCCATGCCTGGTCTTGGCCTGCACAGCCAAGGAGGGCCCACAGTTCCTGGTGTGTTCCAGGAGAATGATGCTCATCTGTGGGCTCTGCAGAGCCTCCTTCCTCAGCTGAGATCAGGTGTGGCTTTGTCGCACTTTACTTCAATATGACCACCAACCAAGACGGTCAGGATTCAGGCAGATGCTTGACAGTGGGCTCTGGTGTATCAGTTTCACAGTCTGGCTTTCTTGTTCGTTTTTCTGGTTCATATGCACTCTGCATTTCTGACAGTATCCCATGTATTGTATATTGTGATAACCTCAATGAGTCTCTACATGTAACATACAGTGCTCATAGATAAATGTTGATTTGGTAACTCTTGATAAAGTATTTGTGTGATCTTCAAATTGTTTTACTAAGTATGAGATTCCTTATTTGCTTGCAATTTTTTTTTTGTGAAAATACTGTACAGAGGGGTTACAATTACATGGGCAAGATGATGAGTACATTTCTTATCAAGCATTGTTGACTCCTCCTTTGTTTCCCCTTCCCATCCCTTCCATTCTCAACCGTACCAACACCTTCCCCCATCCCGGCCAAAGTTGTAAAGTTTGATTTTCGACATAACATCTTGTACATGGGTCCACCTGTATCCCTATTTAAACAATTGGTTTTTTCCCTTCCTGCCCACAACTTATACCAACATCAAATACAGTGAAAGCAGGTGTTATACTGTGGGGGAGGGACATACAAAGTAACAAAGAAGTAATCTTATAAATATTTTAGAAACAATTGAAAGAAAGTAAAACCATTTGAATCCTTTCTTGGGGTTCACTTCGCCTAACATCAACTTGTCTGACAGTTTCTGTTTGTCTCAGATATATACTAGTTATTGCAAATAAGACATAATGTGATACTGGTGTTTCTATGGTTGGTTTATTTCCTTTAATCTAACTCTCTTTAGATCTATCACAAATGACAGTCTTTCTTCCATTCTGTGGGTTAGTTCTATTCCATTGTCCACACCTTTCCCATTTTCTGTATCTGTTCTTCTCTTGTTGGACCTTTATTTTTATCTTAGGCCACTTTTGCCACATTCTCCCTTGGATGTCCTGTGCTCCATGCTCCACTGCTCTGTCCCAAATTTCTATCTGAGAAACATCAGAATGGCCTTTGCCATGCATCTTGCCAACTTCCTGATCAGAACACGTAGCGATGAGCAGCTCAGATCACAACGTTTGGGCAGTGATGATCAAGATAAATAAAATTGTCCCACAGGTTTATGTTGCAGATAAAACATTCCTATTATTTAGTGACCTTGTGATTGTTGTAATATCATAGTATCACACACCTTGGCATGTTCTTGGAGATGATGGTAGCTAGCCTAAGCTGCTGCTAGTTGCCTAAAATCTAGCAATAAATTAATATATACAGTTTACATTTGATATGATAGTAAATGTGTTTCCTAATATTCTTGAATTCTGTATGTCTGTATATATGTTTCATTATGTCTCAATGTTTCTGGGAGATTTGTTGGCAGCATTTTCCATTAGGCTTGGGTGGATTTGTGTTTTTCATCTCTAGCCTTCCTCAGATCTGATCTTGGAGATCATGGCAAACTCAGTTTCACCAATGTGTAATTCTCTGTGCTTTGTTGAAGTGAAGTCTCCCTATGTTTAAGTAAACCTCACAGTGGAAAGCAGAACATCTGATCCAGACAGTCAAGGATGACCACAGACACAGACATAGAGAAGTCCCTGGGAGACAGTGCTCATGACGGAGCCACAGGGACCCGGCCTCCATCCCAGACGGGACATCCACAGGACTCCAGAGCCATCGTGATGTAGGAAACCCCAGGACAGACGGGGCCCAGCAAGCTCAGTCTACATGCACATGGCCTGTTGTCTGTCCAGTCCAACCCAGACTCCTCGTGTCCACTTCCACGTCCCCATGGAGAACAGCAAGAGGCCCTGGGCAGGGGAGACTGAGGAGTCCACTAACATTTCCCAGGGTGCAATAGACTGAGCTCCAGGGTTATGGCTGACTCTGTGTTTTATGACTTGGGTCCCCAAGTACGTTTGGTGGTTGGACAAAGGGAAAAGGAGGCTGAGAGTATGAGAGTCACTGAGGAGGAAAATGAATTAATGGAAGAATTCTGAAGCCCCATGCCCAGTGCCACAGGCAAGGGAGAAAGGCAGGGTTTGGGGCCTGATAAGATTCCTGAGTCAGTGAGCTGAGCTGTCTCTGTCTCTGTTTCCATCTCTGTCTCTGTCTCTCCTATTTTGAACTCAGGGCCTCTTCTGTTAGGCTCACACCTGCCAATTTAACCATGTTTCTACTTTTCGAATCTTAGTTATTTTTCTGGTAGAGTGCTGTGGTTTTGCCTGGGGCAGGTTTCAGACAGTGATTCCACACTTGCCTCCTGTGTAGCTCGAATCACAGGAAACAGCTGCCACATTCAGCTTATTGATTGAGATGAGTTCCTCAAAATAATTTTGCTCTCCTCCTCCCAGGTCTCTAGGATTGTAGACACCAGTCACCATGCCAGGCGTTTTCCCTCTTGTTCACAGAACAAATTCCAGCTCTGTGAATCCTGGGATCTTTGTCCTGAGTCCCATGGGGTCACCAGGGTCCCTGAGTTTCTTCAGGATCAAATACTGGTCACCACTGCAGAGCCATTTTTGCTTCCCTTGTGATACTCTGTTCATTCTTAAAGTCCTAGCAAAGGACTGGAGACATCACAGAGGAGTGCGGGTCATGAACTCAGGAGACATGCTGTCACACTGTGGGCACAGAGGCAGGGCAGACAGCAGGAGAGCAGCCCTGGGCTCTGTGTGCAGCTGCTCCTGAGCTGACCTGGCTCCAAGATGTGCCGAGCGCCCCCTGCTGGTGCTGAGCGCCCTGCAGGGAGGTTTGTGTCTGGCCCACACTGGATTTCCTGCACTGTGTGTCTAGCACAGTAATAGACGGCCGTGTCCTCCACTCTCAGGCTGTTCATCTGCAGGTAAAGGGTGCTCTTGCTGTTATCTCTGGAGGTGGTGAAGCGGCCCTTCACGGAGTCTGCGTAGTATATGCTGCTACTACCACTACTGATGTATGAGAGCCACTCCAGCCCCTTCCCTGGAGCCTGGCGGACCCAGTTCATTTCATAGCTACTGAAGTCGAATCCGGAGGCTGCACAGGAGAGTCTCAGGGACCTCCCAGGCTGCACCAAGCCTCCCCCAGACTCCACCAGCCGCACCTCACACTGCACACCTGCAAACACAGAGAATCCTGGTCAGCAATGGTCACACACATCCACTGTTCCTCCCACTCATGTGCATTTGCACACTCAGTATCCCTTGCTCCCCATAAATCACCTTTCACCAGAGCAACAAGGAGAACCCAGCGCAGCCCCAGCTCCATGGTGGTGGTCTGTGCTCAGTCACTGGTGGAATCAGCTCACAGAGCTCAGGTCAGGGATGGGCTGGTTTTCATGGGCAGAGGGACGTCCTATTTGCATGTCCTCTGCTATAAAGCAGCTCTGGGGGGAAGTCTAGAGATTGGGCTCCCAGAGCAGAGGTGACTGTGGTGGAGGAGTTTGGTGACAATGGTCACCTTGGAGACATCATGACGCACTGACCACATGCTGCGATTCACACTGTACCTGCAGCTCCTTGGGAGCCTGAGGCAGAGTGTGAGAACATTGAGAGCTGTCTGGGGTGCCGAGGGACACACATGTCCTCTCACTGTGCCATTGTGCCTGGTGATCGTTCTGTCAGCATTTCTGATCACACACAAAACACAAAGTGCAACACGCGTGTGACCTCCTTGTGCACTCGCAAGAGTGTAAATCAATCGTGAATGTGTTTCCACACTGGCAGTGTCTCCCATGGTATGAGCTCCATGCCTGGTCTGGGTCTGCACAGCCAAGGATGGCCCACAGTTCCTGGTGTGTTCCAGGAGAATGGTGCTCATCTGTGAGCTCTGCAGAGCCTCCTTCCTGAGCCGAGATCAGGTTTGGCATTTCCGCAATTTACTTCATTCTGACCACCAACCAAGATGGCCAGGATTCAGGCAGGTGCTTGATAGTGGACTCTGCTGTATCAGTTTTCCCAGTCTTTGTTGTTTGTTTTTGTCAGTCATATGTATTGTACATTTGTGACAATTTCAAATGTATTGTATATTGTCATAACTTCAGTGAGTCACTACATGTAACATACAGTGCTCATAGGTAAACATTGATTTGGTAACTATCGATAAATTATTTTCATGTTCTTCATATTGTTTTATCAATCATTTGATTCCTTATTTCATGCAATTTTGTACCCAACTTCCAACCTCCGTCTATCCCGTCCTCCCTCCATCCTTCCTCATTCTCTAGTAACCAACACTTCCTTTTCTGTTCTATGCAGTGTATTTCTTCTAGACATAATGTGACACTGGTGTTTCTATGGTTGGTTTATTTCCTTTAAGCTAACTTCCTTTAAGTTGTCACAAATGGCAGTCTTTCTTCCTGTCTGTGTGAGTACTGTTCCATTGTCCACACCTATCCCATTTCCTTTATCTGTTCTCTTGTTAGACCTTTATTTAATCTCAGGACCTTCCTCAAACTAAATGTGTAAAAAATACCCACAAAACAACACAAAACTGCAGTTTGCATTCTCAGCAGAAGAACTCCTCCCCACACTCTACCAGAAGACCAGCATTTATATTTTTCATGTTTGTGATAACAGTCATGCTGACTTAGGTGAGGTGATATTTCACTGTGGGATTGATTTGCATTTCATTGATATTAGCATATTATCTTGCACTTGAATATTTGTCTTTTTGTTGTCGGTCGTGGGGCTTAAACTCTGTGCTTGGGCGCTGTCCCTGTGCTCTTCAGCTCAAGGCAAGAGCCCTACTGCTTGGGCACTGTTGCACTTCTGGTTTTCTAATGGTTTATTGGAGATCAGAGCCTCACAGACTTTCCTGCCTGAGCTTGCTTTGAACCACCATCCTCAGATCTCAGCCTCCTGAGTAGCTAGGATTAAAAATGAGAGACACCAGCACCCGGAATATTTATCTTTTTAAGAACTCTCAATGCAGGTCTTCTTATCATTATTTCACTGGGTTCTAGACTTGTCTTTTGTTGTTTTCTTGAGACATTTGTTTGGATGATACAACGTGGATAGTAAATCATTTTAGAGACATTATCACTACTATCATTATGCTGAAGCTTTACTCTTTTGCATTATTTCATGTTGCTGAAGAGGTGGTTCCCAGCAATCTCTTTGTGCCTTTATATCTTTATTTTTCGCTGTTGCTGTCATATGGGGTACGAGTGCAGTCACAGGAATGAGCGTGTAGTCTACATTTTAACGTCAGACTCTGGCAGCACCAAGTTCACTTCTCTCCCTTCCCTGTGTGTCACTGGTGGACATGGATTAAGGGAGTGCTGGTTCTCCCCTCTCATGCATTCAGTGAGCGGTTCTGACCTGCTGTGTGTGCAGAGGAGGAGCTCACCTTCCTCTGCCCCAGGCTGAGATGAAAACGCAAGAACCTGTCCTTTCTAGGCTCTCCCAAGTCATTTCACAGTTTTCTGAGAGGCTTCTCTGGTCTTTCTGAAATGTCACCAACCCTTTCCTCCCTCTGTATGTAGTGTGTGGGATTATCAGACCCGACATCCACACTGAACGTTGGTCAGGTCTCGGTCTTTGCCTTGCACCATATGGATTGTGGCCTTGGCAAGAATGTTGCCACCACAGAATCTGTCCTGAGCTTAGAAGGGTCCTCTGCTCCCACAGACTCCTCAGTGATGGAAATGACAGTCTTTCCTGCTTCCCTGTGTGAGTGCGTGTGCAGATTATCAGACACGATATCCATGTCCAGTGTTGGTCCTGTCTCTGCCTTTTGTGGCTTTACAGACAATCTGTGCTGCAGGAGAGGTTCTGTGGCTGTGGCACCATGGAACTCTGTCCTGAGATCGGTTGCTGATTGTTATGGCCGTGGTACTGAGCTCATCCCCCCTGCTGAGTTGTGCAGCACTCATCTTTCCTGGGTCTGGTGCCGTGCTCTGTGGCTAACCGACACCACACTCTTCTTAGGTTTAGAGGACAGATTTCAGAGACCTGGTAATTCACTGTTTCTGGAGACTGATGTGCACATTTGCACAGGACGTTCTGGCCTTGTGGCTGTTATAAGCATACTAGCAGTTCCTCTTCAATGTCCTCTCCACGGAGCAGGGCCATGGCCTGCTGACCCTATGCACAGGTGCTGAGACCAGGCCTGGACACATGCTGCTGAGAGGCACGGGCGCTTCTGTGTGGCTGCCCGTGGGAAGCAGCCCTCGCTGGGGCAGCGGTGTGGGAACAAGACCCCTGGTTCCTCTCCGCCTCAGTTGGTGGTCCCAGCCCGCAGGATGGCAGTTAGTGGAGAGAAGGTGCTGCCGCAGTCCTGAGCCGCGGACTCCTAGTTCTCATGTCTCAGGTCTCTCCCTGCAGCAGTAAAACCTGCTGAGAGCTTTGCCCAGCATTGAGGAGAGCATGGACAACGGTGCCTATAGTAATGTTACATGTAATATACGTAGGTATTTTATACACGAGCACATGTGGTGCATCTGTAGTAATTTTGCCTCCATGAAGCACTAAGATAACTTTTCCCCTGTTCTGTAGAACGTGTGAGTGCACATCTCTGTAAAGGTCAGAGGTTGGCTGGAAGCGGTGGCCACGCACAGCTGCAGTCACCGTCCCCGCCCCACAGCCCCGGCTGCCGTGAGCCCCGTCAGCGGCTTCTGGGACCAGAGCCGGGCCCAGGCGGGTCAGCTGGGAGCCACAGGACACCAGGCTACTCCATAGGAGTGGAGCCCCACAGCTGAGGCCTGTGTCTGCACCCGTGTCACACCCCGTCTGTGACAGCCCCGCTGCCAGCTGTCATTCTCTGGAGATCCTGCACAGACAGGAGACGTCCCGGGAATAGACTGAGAATTCCCACCGTCTGTTCCCAAAGCCCGGAAGGATGCTGACACCTGACTCCTCACAGGAGGCTGAGCCTGCGCTTTACAGCACCTCGCCCACAATGTGCATTATCCGGTGGACAGAGAAGGAGATGTGTGAGAATGAGTGTCACTGCGTGAGAAACTAAACTAGTTAAAAAGTCAGTTGGGTCAAATTCTGTTCTCCATGTGTCCAGCTCTACAGGCCTGGAAAGGCCGAGAGACCAGTGAGGCTCATGGTCAGTGACACGGCTCTAATCTGTTCACCACGTGCATTCCAAGCTCTGTGCTGACCAGGAAAACCCAGCCACGTCTGCCGGGCTTCACCGGGGCTTCAGCAGAGACCCTACTTTCCTCAGGTTGAGATTCTGCTGACCAAGTCAGTCACCTCCGTCAACACAAGGATGGTGTATGTTTCATTCATGGGACGAGGTTTGTTGTCATTTTAAATTCACAGCAGAATCCAGAACTCTCTGTATTCATGTTTATTGGCCTGTGTTGGTTGTACAAGGAACCACATTATAACTCTCTATACCCCCACATGGTGTCCCCTGACAAACGCAGCTCCTCCGGCCTCCGCCTCCTTCCCTCCCTCCTTCAACAACCTCATCAGGTTCCATTTTCTATTTGTATTCATGCGTATCAAGTATTTGGACCCAACTTAATATCCACTTCCTGCTTCACTTGCTCTGTTTTTCTGAGTGGACACATCACAAACTAGAATGATTGGGAGATGTCTGGGAGGAAGAAGAGGGTGGAGTATGTTCAAGATCAAATAATATGAAAGTATATTGTGTCTGGGCATGAGGATGGTGTAAGGCAGCTCCCAAAGCTGTAGAAAAATAGAGGGATAAGGAGAATGTGGAAAGAATAACGGACAGGATTAATCCACCTACAGTGTAATACATGCCATGTGAGCTCCAATGCTGAAACTTCTTTACATCAAGATTAACCAGTGAGGAAAATGCAGGCAGGGACTGGCTGTGTTGTGGACATCGCAGGAGAGGTAGATCCTAAATCTAGACAGCAATTCTTAACCACTGTTGGACAGAGACGCAGCTCCAACACTCAGACAGCCGGCCTTTGACCTTGCCTGCTGCTCCTGAGGTCCTGTGCTTCCTGTGTGCTGAGCTCTCTGTTCCTGAGGTCCTGTGCTTCCTGTGTGCTGAGCTCTCTGCTCCTGAGGTCCTGTGCTTCCTGTGTGCTGAGCTCTCTGCTCCTGAGGGTCCTGTGCTTCCTGTGTGCTGAGCTCTCTGTTCCTGACTGTCCTGTGCTTCCTGTGTGCTGAGCTCTCTGCTCCTGAGGGTCCTGTGCTTCCTGTGTGCTGAGCTCTCTGCTCCTGAGGTCCTGTACTTCCTGTGTGCTGAGCTCTCTGCTCCTGAGCAACCATGCAGGAGGTTTGTGTCTGGGCTACCACTGAAGTTCCCTCATGGTGTCTCTGGTACAGTAATACACAGCCGTGTCCTCCACTTTCAGGCTGTTCATTTGCAGGTAAGCCATGCTTTTGGAATCATCTCTGGAGATAGTGAACCGGCCTTTCACAGATGCAGCATATTCTGTTGTGTGACCATTAGCTTTGTTTCTAATAAAACCAACCCACTCCAGCCCATTTCCTGGGGCCTGGCGGATCCAGTACATGTAGTAATCACTGAAGGTGAATCCAGAGGCTGTACAGGAGAATCTCAAGGAGCCCCCAGCCTGCACCAAGCCTCCCCCAGACTCCACCAGCTGCACCTCACACTGCACACCTGCAAACACAGAGAATCCTGGTCAGCAATGGTCACACACATCCACTGTTCCTCCCACTCATGTCCATTTGCACACTCAGCATCCCTTGCTCCCCATGAATCACCTTTCAACAGAGCAACAAGGAGAACCCAGCGCAGCCCCAGCTCCATGGTGCTGGTCTGTGCTCAGTCACTGGTGGAATCAGCTCACAGAGCTCAGGTCAGGGATGGGCTGGTTTTCATGGGCAGAGGGACGTCCTATTTGCATGTCCTCTGCTATAAAGCAGTTCTTGGGGGAAGTCTAGAGATTGGACTCCCAGAGCAGAGGTGGCTGTGCTGGAGGAGTTTGGTGACAATGGTCACCTTGGAGACATCATGACTCACTGACCACGCGCTGTGGTTCACACTGTACCTGCAGCTCCTTGGGAGCCTGAGGCAGAGTGTGAGAACACTGAGAGCTGTCTGGGGTGCAGAGGAACACACATGTCCTCTCACTCTGCCATTGTGCCTGGTGATCGTTCTGTCAGCATTTCTGATCACACACAAAACACAAAGTGCAACATGCCTGTGACCTCCTTGTGCACTCGCAAGAGTGTAAAACAATGGTGAATGTGTTTCCACACTGGTAGCGTCTCCCGTGGTATGAGCTCCATGCCTGTTCTGGTCCTGCACAGCCAAGGAGGGCCCACAGTTCCTGGTGTGTTCCAGGAGAATGGTGCTCATCTGTGAGCTCTGCATAGCCTCCTTCCTGAGCCGAGATCAGGTGTGGCTTTGACACAGTTTATTTCATTCTGACCACAAACCAAGATGGCCAGGGTTCAGGGTTCAGATGCTTGACAGTTGGCTCTGCTGTATTAGTTTCACAGTCTGGCTTTCTTGTTTGTTTTTCTGGTTCATATGCACTCTGCATTTCTGACAGTATTCCATGTATTGTATATTGTGATAACCTCAATGAGTCACTACATGTAACATACAGTGCTCATAGGTAAACACTGATTTGGTAACTATCGATAAAGTATTTGTGTGTTCTTCAAATTGTTTTAAAAACCATGGGATCCCTTATTTGCTTGCAATTTTTTTATTGTTGAAATACTGTACAGAGTGTTTACAATTACATGATCAGGATCATGAGTACATTTCTTATCAAGCATTGTTGACACCTCCTTTGTTTCCACTTCCCATCCCTTCCATTCTCTCCCTCCCACATCCCCCTCCCCCTTGCTCCTCTCCCCCCCAACCCCTACTCCCCCACACCCAGGCAAAAGTTGATAAGTTTGTTTTTCAACATAACATCTTGTACATCTCATTGTTACAACGTGTCCACCTGGATCCCTATTTAAACAATTTTTTCCCCTTCCCCTCCACAAATTATACCAACATCAATTACAGTGGAAGCAGGAATTATACCGTGGGGGAGGGACATACAAAGCCACAAAAAAATCATCTTATAAACATATTAGAAACAATCACAAGAAAGATAAATCTTTTGAATCTTTATCTTGGGGTTCACTTTGCCTAACATCAACTTGTCTGACAGTTTCTGTTTGTCTCAGATATATACTAGTTATTGCAAACAAGACATAACATGATACTGGTGTTTCTATGGTTGGTTTATTTCCTTTAATCTAACTCTCTTTAGATCTATCACAAATGACAATCTTTCTCCCAGTCTGTGGGTTAGTTCTATTACATTGTCCACACCTTTCCCATTTCCTTTATCTGTTCTTCTCTTGTGGGACTTTTACTTTAATCTCAGCCTTCCTCTGCCACGTTCTCCCTAGGATGTCCTGTGCTCCATGCTCCACTGCCCTGTCCCTAAGTTCTATCTGAGAAACATCAGAATGGCCTTTGCCATGCATCTTGCCAACTTCCCGTTCAGAACAGGTAGCTATGAGCAGCTCAGCTCACAACAATGTTTTGGGCAGTGATGATCAAGATATATAAAATTTTCCCACAGAATTATGGTGCAGATAAAACATTCCTATTATTTAGTGGCATTGTTGTAATATCATAGCATCACAAACCTTGGCATGTTCATGTAGATGATGGTAGCTAGCCTAGCTGCTGCTAGATGCCTAAAATCTAGTAATACATTGATATATACAGTTTACATTTGCTATGATAGTAAATGTGTTTCCTAATATTCTTGAATTCTGTATGTCTGTATATATGTTTCATTATGTCTCAATGTTTCTGGGAGATTTGTGGGCAGCATTTTCCATTATGCTTGGGTGGATTTGTGTTTTTCATCTCTAGCCTTCCTCAGATCTGATCTTGGAGATCATGGCAAAGTCAGTTTCCCCAATGCGTTATTCTCCGTGCTTTGTTGAAGTGAAGTCTCCCTATGTTTAAGTAAACCTCACAGTGGAAAGCAGAACATCTGATCCAGACAGTCAAGGATGACCACAGACACAGACATGGAGAAGTGCCTGGGAGACTGTCAGGGGATGCGCAGAAGCAGGGCAGACACAGAGGAGAGCTGGGGCAGGAAGAGCAGAGGCCGGGCCAGTGCATTTGCTTACCAATTAATTAATTTAGTTATTATTATAAAGGATATATGTTAACAGGTACTGGTTATTATTCAATACAGATATACATTGTTAAATGACTAACAGTCTAAGTAGACACTTTCCTTTCTTCATCTTTTTACAATGATTAGTGTTGTGCTATGAGATACCAGCTCCTCCTGATGAGTTTTCATATCCAAATGTGGACCCAAGACACCACAATCTCCACATGGACAGAGTAATGGATGTCTCCTGGTGAGATGAATGATTTGTCTCATCATCCACAAAAACGGTCCTGGGGAAAACCTCAGAACTTGCAAGTCTTCTTCCTAAAGCCTGCAGACAAGTTCACACACACGTTCTTGTTCAGGAAGTGAAGCTTGCTCTTTTTTTTTTTTTAGCCATGTTAACCAATTCGAAATTCTATTTTCTTTTTTAATTTTTGCTTGCTCTTTCTGTTCAGGATGTAATGGAGAAATAAACCAGGATCTGTTTGAGCAGGTGGGGGCATCCGGGATGCAGGGAGCTCAGTCAGATTGCTGTGAGATCACCTGGGCCCAGCCCCTCGTGCCCAAGATGCACGTGCACAGTGACAGTGCTCATGACGGAGCCACAGGGACCCGGCCTCCATCCCAGACGGGACATCCGCAGGACTCCAGAGCCATCTTGATGGAGGAAACCCCAAGACAGACGGGGCCCAGCAAGGGCAGTCTACATGCACATGGACTGTTGTCTGTCCACTCCAACCCAGACTCCTCATATCCACTTCCACGTCCCCTGGAGGACAGCAAGAGGCCCTTGTCAGGGGAGACTGAGGAGTCCACCACGTTCCCAGGGTGCCGTGGGCAGAGATCCAGGGGTATGGCCGACCCCTGTGTTTTATGACTTGGATCCCCAAGTAAGTTTGGTGGTTGGACAAAGAGAAAAGGAGTCTGTGAATCACTGAGTCAGAAAGTGAATGAATGGAGCAATTCTATTACGTCAGTTCTGAACCCCTGAACAGTGCTACAGGTGGAGGGAGGAGGGGAGCATTTGAGGCCTGTTAAGAGTCCTGGGCCAATGGACTCTGGGTACTTTGTTTGTCTGTCTGTCTTTCTCTGTCTGTCTCTGTCTCTCTCTCTCTGTACTGTTTTGAACTCAGGGCTACTATTTTAGGAACATACCTGCATTTCAACCCTTTCTATAGCTATTTAATGTTATTTATTTTCTGGTACTGTGCTGTGTTTTTGCGTGGGGCAGGTTGCAGACAGTGATGCCACACTTGCCTCCTGTGTAGCAGGAATCACAGGAAACAGCTGCCACATACAGCTTATGGATTGAGATGTATTGTTATTAAAGTTTAGCCCATTTGGCCTCCACAAAATTCATTTTTCTCTCCTCCTCCCAAGTCTCTAGGATTACAGACACCAGTCACCATGCCAGGCGTTTTCCCTCTTGTTCACAGGACAAATTCTGACTCTGTGAATCCTGGGATCTTTGTCCTGAGTCTCATGGGGTCACCAGGGTCCCTGAGTTTCTTCAGGATCAAATACGGGTCACCAGTGCAGAGCCATTTTTGCTTCCAGCATGATACTCTGGTCATTCTTAAAGTCCCAGCAAAGGACTAGAGACATCACAGAGGAGTGCGGGTCATGAACTCAGGAGAGACGCTGTCACACTGTGGACACAGAGGCAGGGCAGACAGCAGGAGAGCAGCCCTGGGCTCTGTGTGCAGCTGCTCCTGAGCTGACCCGGCTCCAAGCTGTGCCCAGCGCCCCCTGCTGGTGCTGAGCGCCCTGCAGGGAGGTTTGTGTCTGGCCCACACTGGATTTCCTGCACTGTGTGTCTAGCACAGTAATAGATGGCCGTGTCCTCCACTCTCAGGCTGTTCATCTGCAGGTGAACTGTGTTCTTGCTGTTGTCTCTGGAGATGGTGAACCGGCCCTTCACAGAGTCTGCGTACCATGTGCTACCACCATCTGGATTAATTCGTGCAACCCACTCCAGCCCTTTCCCTGGAGCCTGGCGGACCCAGTCCATGTAGTAACTACTGAAGGTGAATCCCGAGGCTGCACAGGAGAGTCTCAGGGACCCCCCAGGCTGCACCAAGCCTCCCCCAGACTCCACCAGCTGCACCTCACACTGCACACCTGCAAACACAGAGAATCCTGGTCAGCAATGGTCACACACATCCACTGTTCGTCCCACTCATGTCCATTTGCACACTCAGTATCCCTTGCTCCCCATGAATCACCTTTCAACAGAGCAACAAGGAGAACCCAGCGCAGCCCCAGCTCCATGGTGCTGGTCTGTGCTCAGTCACTGGTGGAATCAGCTCACAGAGCTCAGGTCAGGGATGGGCTGGTTTTCATGGGCAGAGGGACGTCCTATTTGCATGTCCTCTGCTATAAAGCAACTCTGGGGCAGAAGTCTCAGGAGGGCAGCGCACAGAGGAGATGCAGTGGAAGACAGAGTTTGTTAGATGAGTGAATTACCTGAAATGTCTGTAACCAATTGGCTTCAAGAAACCCACTGATGGAATATGAACTTCTTTATAGAAGTTTAACTCTGCTTCCCTTAGTCAAGATTGCTGAGCCATTTGCTTTTTAAAAACATTTTCCCTCTTCCTTTTGTATTGTTTATTGTTTGTATTTGGGAGGGTAAGGGGGTCACATAAAATCTGGAACAGGAATGAACAAATATCACAGAGATACTCACGAGACACTGTGGAAAATGAAG